CACTTGTAGATATTACTTTATCGGATACTTGTTACTCTTAAACGAGTACTACTGTAATCGATTTAGCACTCAAAGCATTTTAGCTATTTGAACAGTCGTTATCGGTAATTATCAAACCTATACTCTACAAAAGATACGATCAGTGATATCCCTCATTTGTGATACGTAATGTAAAGAAACAATAGCTTTGATAATATTGAACTACGGCAAACGTTTAACGGATAAAACGTGAAAAAAAACAAAAATGAGATAGCCAATAGGCTGACAAAAAATCTTTGACAAAAAATATCTTGAAATGATAATATGGCGAGTACTTATCATTTTAATCGATTAACCATATCGATCAGCCACAATCAATTTAGACGCGTTTACTATAAAAAAAAAACAAAACATGCACTATTGCTGCTATCTCAGCTATTGTCGATTTAGTTTCTTAACAAAATTAATATCCATCCACGAAATAGCATAGCTGTGGTGTGATATACAGACAGAATGAAAAGTGACAGTAAATTTACAATTTAATAATAGAAGTAAGCTTACATTTATTTCTAACATTTATTCTCTGCAGTATACAAGTAATTCATGGTAAATGTTAATGAATTGGCTTCAAAAAACTACGCTAGAATTAACAACATACGAAAAAAAAAAATGTATATATACCTTTGCGCTCCGTAACATAAGGACACTAAAACAAATGATAATGCACTTTTTGGCCTTGATTCTACTACAGGCTTTACTAATAGACTAAATATGGTTTTGTTCGTTGACAGCAAATCGAGATTGTGCCCAATTATTTCCGCCCCCTCATGCATACATACCACCAGTTGTGTTATCCATCTTTTGTTGTCTAACGGGACCGTCGTCTGTTGTAACTGTGCGCTTATCCTTATCCGTATGCTTTCTTAACAGTGATAAATACTTGAAAACATGCAGAATCGAACCCCCTGCCTGCAATATTGGGTCAGCCCGTATCGCACTAATCTGCGCTGGCTTGCTGTTTTGAATTTTGTTTGTAACTCGTTGGGCAGATACGTAATTTTGATAAGGGGGAGGCAGCATTCGCGAGTCTACGCATTGACTAGTCATTGCCTCTCGTTCTGATAATCTTTCAGATGGACGAGATTCTGCCCAAGTAGAAATTGTGACCAGTGGCTTATTGGGTTTAGTTTTTGCCAACTTTTTCGCATTTGCAAGTTTGACCACAGTGGGTTTGTACGTAGATATAGACGCTGCCATATCTTTGCTATGCTTTTTCGGTAACACGAACCTGGTCAAATGCGGTGATGTCTGGCGAAGGACAGGAGACACCTGTGGCACCTTTGCTGACGGCTCCTTCTGTTTATTGTGCGAACTTTCAGGATTTGGTCCAATTAAAATACGACTAGGGGCAAACTCTTCCTTTGAGCTAATCGATTTTAATTTCTGTACTAACTTAAGTTCATCGATAAAGGGCGCCTTAGGGATCGGTAGCCTTTGGACTTTGACGGGTACGAACAGTTCTCCCGGGTCACGCGTATTTTTATAGACATCTTCTTCTTCTTCAGTGCCGGCACAGGTTTCGAACGACTCCACAGATTCCGAATCGCTGAAGCTCTCAGATTTAAGCATAATTATGTCATATCGATAGATCTGGTTGTGTCAAGAAGATACTTCCTCGGTTCTTCAATAATTCTGTGATAACCTATTCACTGGTTAAGTCGGGAAACTTCGGCGCTAAAGCTGAGCCATTTCAGCTCGAATACACCACAAATGACAGTGATAAAGCAAACCGGCAGAGCGAGGCCTCAGACGATAGCGTAAGACAGTATGCCGTTATCGGCTTTCTGAGATTTATCCTAGAGCACCAGCGATACCCACAATCTCTGCACTTATCTAAGGCAAGCTTGGGCGTTATGAAAATAGGTTTCTTCAGAACGGCTTGGAAGTGGCTCTAGGTATTTCATATTAAATTTCGTTGCTTTTTGTGACGAGACTGCTAAATCGTGGCTGGTTTATTCACAAACAATATGATTGAAATAACTGTTTTTTTTTACCATTATCATTGCTCAAGCTGTTGTGATTCTAGCCCGCCATTTCATGCTTCTAAGCATGACTTGATGGTAGACCGAATATTACTGCGAATGCACCTGTGATAGCAAGAAATAGCAACGACGCCACTGTGACCCCAAGTAGGATTTGTGACCACAGTCGAAGACAAGTTGAGCTGCGCTCTCTGACCATTCTGAATCGAACACGTTTCTCCAGTGTGCTGATTTTCTGCAGACTAAGTAGATGGTATGGTCCTCCACCCTAGAGATTGTTACGTGAACAAAGAAATGTCTACGTGTACGTAGCTTTGCCCAGTTGAAGTCGGGGTCAGACTACACAAGTCAGCCGTTTCTTATGGTAGCTGTACAGAATATAGCTAGAGACGTTATGTGGTCTTCACGTCTCTTTCAGCGAAGCTTAATAAGGGTAAGACTTCACATTGTTGATTTCCACATCTTTTCTACTCCATCTGCTATCTTCAGTAACATTCATTGCTAAACAGGGCTTTTAATAGGCAGTCGTATTCATTTCCGAGTACCATTCCCTTGTCGTTGTCCACTGTGATGCCTTCACACACAGAACTCGGAGCAGCGTAGTCCGGTCATTCGCATGATCACAAGAGTCAGTCCTTTTTATGAGAAAATTGGCCTACTAAGCTCATTTCTACCACACAGTTCAGTAAATCGTCCATATACATAGAGAAATGGCGTTTCATAACGATGACCATCATTAATTCAACCTAACAAGATAACACGAACGCAATCGGCAACAGATCGGCGCAATCGAGCACAAGCTTTAAGGACAGTGTTCTTCTATTCTAGCATATTATTGACTGGGGAGATGCAATAAACCACTGAGTCCGGAATACGTTTCAACTACCTCGTATCATTTGCCCTGGTAATCTCACTGCTTCGGTCCGCCTACTATCATTACGCTCTGGGGGAGTTTCTTTTTCGCTGAGACAGCCGCCGCTGTTACTTGTGCCTGCTTCGTGCTGCTTGAACACAGCTTGCTCCACCTCTTCAATTTTACCAGTCAGTCTATAACGTTGTAGCACGCTATTGCCTGGCAATGCCATCCATACATGATTGATGGAACCTCTTCTTTTGACACAATCTGGGTTTGATCCGTACATGCGGGTCAAACTCCTGAATAGCACATCATCACTTTCAGCTACAATTAGTAACTGTAGCAGTCAGCAGCAGATTTTGTTGCTACAGACAGCCTCTGCCAATTTGTTAACAGGTCTTTGTGGTTTGCCCTCATAGACGTCGATTCAGTTTGTCAATACAAATCATGCATAGAATATCTTGTGCCACAACATTAAACCACTACGTTATTGTTCTAGATTTCTTTCCATCATCGATCAGAAAGTATTTTAATCGGCTTGGAACAAAATCGCCTGATAATTCTATTCAATATCCTGTATCCGTCACAGAGTTTATTGGGTCTACGGAACATGTTAAAGATGACATCATAGCAAAGAGGGGCAATGGTTGTTTAGAGCAATAACAACGAGACTATATATTGTACCGATCGTACTGGCCAATTTTGGTGCTGGAACAGAGCGCATGTGTGCTCTCTGAGGAAATCGTCGACATTTTTTTTTACTAACTGCAGATTGCGTCATCTACATGAATCACGAATGGAGCTTTATGCCAGTGAAGACCAGATAATGTTTACTGCAGAAAAACTAGATCCTATTCGATAGATTGTGACAGCACAATATTCACCCGTCATATATGTATAATTAATACGATGAGACTCGTTTTTTACTCATTAATCCAGCTAAGCTGGGCTTTAACAGAACCTCAGCCGAAAAATAACAGCTGGAAAAAATAAATAGTTGTTTTTTTGACGTTGTCTAAAGTAGAAAATGGATATTCTCACCCTTAGAATGAACATCCAAATTAAGATAAACACTTAGGGATAGTAAATAAAATGAAATGATCAGTGGTAAAGTGTCTAAATAGATTCGATTGAATCATGCGAGGACTGTTAAGCGCCAAGCTACTCACTATCCATTTGGTCCTTCTTGTGTAATGGCGTATGGTTGAGAACGCAGGCTAAATGGAAAATGTACATTTAACGTCCCATTTAATTGGAAGTGAAAAAAAGGCCCAATCTTTCCAAATTCTGTATTAAATAATTTTCTTAGCATTCGCAGAGCCAACGACCAGTGAAGCCACTGTTGGATCGTTTTAACAATAGGATATGTCCTAATTTCTCTTACAATCTTGTAACTATCAGATTTGACCAATAATTCAAACTAGATCTACAATGGAGCTATTCGCTTGTTTCTACGGCTATTAGAGAACCAAAATGCTGATAGCTCTTAGCCTACTTATGCTGTTTTAAATTATGACAACTATCCACCGAAAGAATTTGTGTTCCATCAAAATCTACCCCATATAGACGGATATACCGTTGCTCTTTCAATATGCATAAATCTAATGTAAATAATTAATGAAGATTCCAAACCCAACAGCATTTTAGACCCAACAGAAATTTTCTACTTTCCTTTGCAAGCTGAAATCAGCTTTGTATACCTTACCTGTGTGTGCCCAATGCAGTGTCTAATACAAATTATCACATATGTGCATGATACACTAAAATAACCTTCATTACGACCAAATCGTTCAATTTCCAACTAAAATTGAAAAATACGACTGGCACTTATAGCACTGACAATAGAGTTAAATTAGTTTATTTATTAAGGCAACGTATAACTTGTTAAACACACATGCACAACTTCAATAACCTTACGCAGTAACAGAATACGTGTATATAGTATGTCAACTGCGAAAATACACTTTAGCCAAAAAGTGGGCCAAATGTAGAAAAGACAAGTCAGAAGCAGTAATAATGATTGAACCAGAAAAGTGAATAAAAAAGAACCGATTTATACTGTTTCTACTTAACAAACACTTGTTTACAGACGGAGGTATCTAGCCATTTCGATTTACTTCCTCTTTTTTTTTTTTTTTTTTTTTTTTCGATATACGATTCCTCCAATATATGACGTGTATGTGGAATAAAGGACGCGTATGCCCGTATCTATATAATACATGCAAGTATATTTAATATAGATTACTTAATGATCATGTAGAGACTTCATGCGGTAGCTGAGAGCCTAAGCCGATCATGACAGTGGTCCGGTTCAGTAGACCACGGCAGTTTCTACACCTGTTCTGCTCTAGAAAAATTTACGTTGGTTAAGATCGGGAAATTTAAAAAAAAAAGTAGATTTTTATTTGACAATGTCTTCATCTAAGCTTAACAATGAGTTAAATTATTTGAAATGAAATTATTTCATACTAACATGCACACTTAGGGTCTTGTTGACAATCAAAATATATTAACAATTAATGAAATAGCAGGACAAATGCCACTAGACAAGAAGCCTAAAACCTTCCCGAAAGCCTGTTTTTTTTTAGCAATTTCCGGTAGTACGTTAATAACACATATTACCACAGATCAGCACATACGAATCTTACAGGTTCGCTATGATAAAGAAAAGTTATCAGGTAAATTTAAGTTCGGCATCTAACAGTATCTCGTCCATTTCACTGCCATCTAATGTCAAAAATAACTGCTAGAAATTGTTTATGGAAGTCTATTGACATAGCTACCAATTGCCAAGAGCAGCTTGGTAATTGTAAGAAAGCACTCGTCAAGTTACCTTTATGTGGTATCATTGGATCGAGCTACCGCCATTAACTCATTTGTTGCTTTGGCTGAAATTTGGTGCATGTCTAGTAATCTGATCGCACCGGAATGGCGCGAGTTTCGAACTATCGGCTTAGGAATATGCTATATATATATATATGAAAAGTGTCCAGCAAATGAAGTTTTTTAACAGACGTCCATCAGAAACACAAGTATGTTCCTTTATTCGGTTACTTCGTAACCGTAGGTGTCCCAGTACTCGTGCCTCCGACATAGCTGAGTGGATAACATACTTGTCCGTTAACTTTAGCGACGCGTTGGGCGTAAAACTCGAATTATAGAAAGGTGTTCTAATATATAATTATAAATTTGCATCCAATATTCATTTTGAAGTTTCAGTTTGATGTATCGGCTCCATTCTGGTCCGCTTGGAAGATCTGGATGATCTTGTCAATTTTCTCCTCGTCTGGCAGAATGGTTAATGGCTGCCAATCCGGAATGGTCGACGGTTTAAGGACATCTTTCTTCGACACAGGCAATGGTTCCGTCAAGAACAGGTCATGCTCAAGAGCCTTGTGGCAGCGGAGGCGTCTGCTTGAGTCGTAAACAAGCCATGATGCTGCTAATTCCCTCGCTTCTGGCTGGATGTCAGGTATTAATTGTTCCCACGAGGTGGCGTCGGTACAAGGAAACTGGATTTTGTTGTAATCCGGCAGTTTTCGATGGCCCGGCCAGTTTTGCTCCGTCGGAGAACCGAGTGCATTTAAAACGACACCCAATTGTTCAATGTCGTTTTCGCTTCGGAACAAAGGGAAGCAATTGAGCATCTCAGCAAAGACACAGCCAACTGCCCAAAGATCGACACCTTCATTGTAATACTGAGCTCCGTAAAGCAACTCAGGTGCTCGGTACCACCTGGTGGCTACCTGATGCTCATATTTTCGTCCCTCAACAATAAGGCATGCTTGACCAAAATCAGCAATCTTCAACGTGCCTTCGACGTCGATGAGTAGATTGGCAGGCTTGATATCACGATGCATTATCCCGTTAATATGACAATAGCCGAGTCCTTTCAATAGTTGGATCAGGTAAGTTTTGATGTGCGATATCGGCAACTTCTTCTGCGAGTGGTAAATCAACGCCGAGAGGTTGTGTGGTACAAACTCCATCGCCAACACGACGCTGGGTCCATGTGAAAACACCTCATGAAGTCGAATAATATTCTCATGGTTAAGGTATTGAAGACTTTTTACTTCACGAAACGCGTCAATCGGAAACGGCTTATCAGGTCGACGTTTCAGTAAAATCTTCTTCAATGCGACAATCTCGCCAGTGGCGTTATTGCGAGCTCGAACAACAATACCGTGTGCTCCCTCGCCAATAATCCCCCCGACATCGTAAGCGAAGATGGACATAATTCACACTTGAGTTACGAGTATAGCCCAAAACTTATTTGTCTCCAAAAAGCACTGTAGAATTATAGTAACATCGCTTTTACCTTTGTTACCGTCAGGACATTTATAGCGAACAGAGAATAGTATAAATCCATAAATTAAATACAGACGAGCTACATTCCACCGACTAGACGAAACCGCCGCTTTAAAATAGCCACACACGCACACATTCCCGCGTCATAACGGCTTAATTCGCTAGTTATCACGCATGTAAATCAACCATAATATTAGTTTAATACGGTCTGAACTTACGACCTGTGGAAAATTCACCAGCGTCCATTTGTCTGTATCGCTGTGGGTATTATATCTAGCGTTTGGATCTTAAAGGTTTGGGAGAGTCCCAAAATCAGGCAAACTCCAATGAGGTTCTGCTTTTTAAGTCAGCTCTTTACAATCTTGCCGCGACTACCATTATCACAAGGGATTACACGAGCCACAGGCAGTTATGAAGGTATGAGTTGCTATGGCTACGGGATCGGCGTCAGAACAACATCACATTGGCTGAACAAAGCGAGTGACAATTTAGGAGATTCAGGCCGCAGCCTTGGCACGGAAGACACACGAGAAATCCGACAGAATTAGACCAGCCCACAGGACGATGTAGGGACTCTCGCACTGTGGAAACGAACAATTGGTACTGAAGTGAGAATCAGCGATGCAAATACTTGGTGTTTATTTATGTAATATAGATATACTTAAATATTAACGTTGGAGTAACTTTGTCCAGGAAAAGTTACCAAGAATAGATATCCTAAAATCGTGCTATAACAGCCATTGGAACATTTTTCTCTATAAAAAAAAACCTACAGACGATTCGTATTACTTCGAAAATTTTCATGTGCGTATGACTAGCGGTCCATTCACAATCTCTTGAAAGCTTGCGTCTTTCTCAGGTATTTTCTATGCGTGAGTATTAACCCTGTCCAACTGTGTTTTGCAATATATCAGCAATTTTCATATTCTACAAAAAAAAACATGACTGGTAGAAGCGGGTAAGCTCTCATGCTCATATTTTTTTCAGCGGAAATTTTGCTCTCGATGTTCGCTTTTAGTAATAACTAAGTGAATGCTACATCTAGTCACCAGTATAGCTACCCTGACGCCATATAGGCACCACATGGTTGCAACGAGTATTCGACTTGTCAACTTTACTAGGACTATGTGCCCAAAGCCAGTAAGTTTGCTATTTGCTCTCTAATTTTTCGTTTAAGAACCACCAAATATTATATCACGCTCTAAGGCACCTTATTTGCTTTACTACGGTAACGACACTGAAGCCCAACTTCGGGAGTATAGCCACCTATAACGTTTTTACTCAAAATAAAATTCACTAGGCTGGATGAAACGATGACAAAAATATTGTAGAGAAAGAGCCTTCCTAATATATGTAACTCTTTGCCAAGGAAAGAAGTAAAGCAAAACAGCCGATAATTAATAACCTAATATTTTCATGGCCACTTAATTAACTCTTACGAAGCTTTATTATAGTATTTAATATTATATCTTATTATCTAATTATACTTAATATAATTTATTTAATTATGCTTTTTATATTTGGCAGCTTATATACAATTTTTTGGAAAAAGGCTTTACCTTTGATCTTTAGATGCTGATACCAAGTATGCATTTTGGATGACATACCAATAACATCAAAAATATCCAAAGTTGAAGCCAGATTGGCCAGATTGGTTACTCCGGCCTTCGCCTACTATAGTATTTTACGAACTATATCTTCACTTTTACTACACTTTGTTCCACACCAGCAATTGTATGAACTCCGGTGAGGCAGTTGCTTGATAACAGGTCAATTCGTTCCCACACAGTCACAACAGGTACGATTTCCGCAACTTAGCGCATCACGATATGATCAGATGCAACGCTATCTCGTTTCTAAAACATCGTTACCAATTGAGCGATGGTTACATAGCAAGTTACACTTTTGAGTTACAGCCAGCCCACAACGATTGAAACTCGAAAAAGTTCCAACCACTTTACAAAATTATCATTAATTCAGTAGCCGTCTCAGTCATTCGTCAAAAATCGACCCTATCAAAGCTCTATTTATGCCTTAGCTTTTTTGAAAGCTTTTCCGTCCGTGAAAGTTACGCACGTAGTCCACGAAGCAACCGTATATATACATGTATATGCATATACATACATATATATATATATGTGCATGTATATATATGTATGCGTGTGTATATGTATATCTATGCGTATATGATGACTTATGTTCAGTACAAGTTTACGCAGAAGCGCAATTTGCAGTAGCGTTGTTGTTAGTCTTCACGAACAGATACGGCACGATCTAATCAGAACGAATTGCCTTCCACACGTCACCAGCAAAGTAAGTTTTTTACACAGTGTTGTAGTTATTTTAACTTTCTGCCACAGAGCCAAAAATAGAGCAAGTTTCAGTTCTGTAAAATTTCTGGGGCCAGTTCGAATGCCCAAGTGAACACCCAGGCCTCTTCTGAACCACAAGCGACAATCGTAGAAAGCTAATCCTTACGAAAATTCTCCTTTTTCGAAAAGTTCGTTCCAAAACTTGTCCAGAGAGCTGACTGCACCAACGAAGTTACAAAGCGGACAGCAACCGCAGTCTAGTCTGACAAAACAACAAACAGAAGTTGGCTGACGCAAGAACTTTGGCAGTACCGCCAACACGCCAAGGGAACTGCGCCAGAGCTCAAATAGCAGGAATTCCAGTCGACCATCGAAAAGATCCAATTGTTACAAGTTGTTTTCGCTGGAGAAGTTCCGTGATGTCTTCGACGCTTTTGATTCGTCCACCGTGTCTGCCCCTGGCGGTCCAGCAGCACGCAACGTCAGCTAATGCTGCAATCCTTTCTCTATTTAGTGCTTGCGCGGACGTCGCCATCAACCAACGTTTGAGCATCTGGACGGGATCTGAGCTCCTTGTCTGTGGCTGCATAGCACTGGCTGTGTCCCCGGACACCGAAAGCTAGCCCGGCGACATCCTAGCTCCGAAGTCTATTCACCATTCGACATAGAGCCTAAAGTAGCTGGTCATCAGGACCCGAAAGAGAAAGCTGCCATCTTACCAGCACCTGACAGATAGGTAGGTAACTAGTACTTGCACTCGCAGACGTAATGATCCGCCGCCAGTTGTCAAATCATGAAGCTACTATAGCCGCGATCCCGTCTGTCATTTAGTCGTCGCTCGGCAAACGGCCGCTGGTTCAGTGGTTCAGTCAAAGTGGAAGTTTGCTAGCAAATAAAGGTTTGGCTGTACGTCATTTATCACTATGTCCTTTAGGACTGCGCGATACGGCTCCCGCAGGTTTTTCGTCCGGGTGATGTAAGCTGTGTTTGTGTTGACTATGTCTTTTGATAATAGTGGTCGGTGTTGTTGTTACTGCGGAGGGGATTATGACGATGGCAATGCGCCTATATAGCAAGTTAACGTCTATCATATTCGTCCCGCCGTCTCATGTATAATAGCTGCTAAATGCCGATAAAACTCTATATATATATATATATATATATATATATATACATAATATATATATATATATATATATATATACATATCAGTGAATCGTTATACAGTGGGCAGAACGTTCATCAACAGAGTCAATCTAAATACCCATAAATACCTTGATAAATGTAACCCGAACAGCTGAAGAACGAACAACAGAAAAAGAAACCGGAATTTTCTATCATTGCTGTCCGTGTTACTGTTGTTACCGTTGTATAGAGTAACGACGATGGCCTAGTTGCGCTATTATATCGTTTTTTCTACAAAATTAATTATTTACTGAGTATTTTTTTTCCATTTGTTTAAATGTGACATAGCAATCAATACAATATAATAAATGCACATATCTAATCAACTATGTATCGTTCCCTAAAAAAATTAATTTCCTTCCCTTTTGCAATTACTTGTTTTACAGATACATGATCAGGTCAGATTTCTGTTTACTGTTGCTCTAAGCACTGTATCATCTGGGGATTATTCTCATTATTGCTAAGAAATATCAAGCTGAATTTACACTTACGGTCAATTGTCCGTAATATATTTGTAGGCCATATCTGAACAACGAGAGATGTTCATGAGCAGCTCTCTGGTGGCAAAGAAACCGAGACAGGTTCCCATTAGCCTCTCGATTTTATAGCATGTATAGAATAGGATAAAATTGGTTTATAAAAGTCAACAGTTGTACACTTTTAGTTCAATGGAGTTCCGGCCATCATAGGTTTTAGTCCGTAAAATTTCAAGACAAAATGTGATTTAAAAAAAAATGTGCCTGTTTTGTCATCTAACACAAATATCTATCTACCTGTTACTTGGCAGAGCTACCGACGTGAAACTTTTTGATCCTATCCAAAAAGTCCATTACATAAATAAAGTTGTCTAGGTATCTGCTTGTTTCGATCAGTTTTACCAAATCACGCATTCTAAGAAAAAGTTTACTTAATTGTATCATCACTAATCAAATCTGTCCAATGCTGTCTAATACCCTGCTGGTAATACGCCCATTTACTGGTCGGGTGAACTTATACGTTTCAAGAGATTCGTTTAGCTTAATTTTATATCAGTATATAACTTACAGCCAAAATAACCACTAGAATAGGCCAAAAATGTCGTCGGTCTCATTAGAGTTTTTTTCAATTGATGGCTCTTTTTGAATTTGACTTCATTATGTAAAACAGCAATTAACACCTAATTCCTATGAAAATAATATACTAATAAGTGTGACTCTTTTGTGCATCTTAGCATTACTATAGCACGTCATATGAGATGATAGTACGTCGTGCTTGCAGCGTCGCGGATTACTCTTAATGGCGTTCCTCTCTCTCATTGCTGGCTAAAGTCGATGAAGTCGTCGTCGTCATCGTCGTTAGTCGAAAGAGAAAAATTTTTTTTTTTGAAAAAAGGTATCTTGATCTTATGAGTTTTTGATCGTACGAGCTTTCCTCATTGTCGTCGTTGAGTTCTTTCTGCGTGCTCGCTAAGATATCTATCCCTTACAGTTCTTTTACGGTCCTTGAATAGCACGTAGCGTATGATGCTCCGATTTACAGGTCTAGTTTAACCATCGTTGTCTTCCTTGGAGGCTAATCTGGTCGTGTCTAATCGGCGTCATGGGAAAAGTGATTGTATTAGTGTGCCAGATTATCCACTGCCGTGTCAGTCATCTATCTTTGTTGTAAAGCCTGCTCCAACCATACGTACATGCTTGCATCGTTGCTATTGATTGCGATGATTCGTATGTTTTCTCTGTTTACGAGTGGAGATTTGTAAAACCGTACTAGTTGACTATAAAAATTAAGATATTGTTTAGTTGGGCGTTTAATGTGCGATTGCCTGTAATACAACAAATACGCCGGGACCTTTTCTTTAATGTAGAACTATCCGTCGAAAACCTTTTCACTGCGAAGTCGTGTGAGACCCTGGATTAGAATGTGAGCCGTTTTATAAATATATAGTACATTAGAAGCAAAGCGCCATGACACTTATGACCATTATACCGTAATAATAATAATAATAATAATAATAATAATAAATTATCAATAAAAACCTAATATCTAGGAGCCACATTTTGTGCGTACAGCATATGATCGTTTTCCGACACCACACGTTTCCACCATCGATTTTGTCTGACGACAATGACTTAAGTAACCAGCTTTTAGGCCCCTTTAAATTGCCCAAGTAGCCTTGTATCATCCTGCTGAATAGCTTTCTTCATTCAAATGCCTAATTCAAATTCTTTAAAGCCAAGGAAGATGTATTTGAAATTGAACAAAGTCCAACGATGCTATTCGTCTTCGACTATTATCCATACATTTCCCGCACCTGCGGATTCTCTTCATCCGTAGCGCCTGAGTACTAATAAAGACTGCCAGTATAAATATTTAATAATAAATTACGCTGCCTCTTTTTGTAGTCTTGTCTCTTTTTACGGCCGACAGAGACTTAACCTATATGAACTGTAGATTACGCACATTCATCTTCGGGATCCATTCGAAGGTCTTCTGACGTGTCTAGAGTTGGAAATGAGCCATCTCCAACCGCGCCATTTGTCTCAGCTCCCTCGACATCAGCCGAAGTTGACGCAGTTCCATCTTCGAACCTATCGATCTGTCGCAATGGGAAGACGGGAAAATAAGTAGAAAAAATCTTTTAATTCTACTCGATCCAGGGCGACCTACTCTGAGTGGCTCAAATACCAAAGTATTTCCCTAGCTCAGCCTAATTATGCACATTTAATACACCAAATCGATAGTAATCACCCACTGGTCGTCTGTTAGCCGATCGACTTTGAGCATATCCGAGAGCGGCCTACTTGGCATTCATAAAACACCACTGGCCTAAAATCAACATTCAACTTACCTGTTTAAAGGACTCCGATGTATCAAAGCTTAAGGGAGGACTCACAACGAGGAAGCCTTCTGTTTCCCCTCGCATACGGGATGCATCCATTGGGGCGCTGACAAGCGACGAAAAAGTCGCTTCCGAAGCTGATTCGCCTGAGCTCGTTAAGTCCAATGAATCCGACTGCAACGTCGGACTTTTCTGCAGGCTGCGGAACGCATGCGATACAAAGGAGCTTCCGCAGATCACTTGTTTGTATCGGGGTTCCGTTTTCCGTTGGAACACGTCAAGTCGCTCCTTCTCGCTGCAACCCTCGTTTGGTTTAAGTGCCATTATATGAATTGGCGTTATAAATTGAGATCTTTGAACTTCTTCGGCGGTTGTGATGCTCCATCGCTCTTGCGCAATATCTACATGATCTAATTTCCCTTCTGAATACTTAGCTGTATTGTTCCCGATCTGATGGACCGTACCAGCGTTAAGAGTGTTCAATCCTGGCTCGGTCTGTACTTCTTGCATCAAAACTTCTTCCGCCTTTATCAGCATGCCTTCGTCAGCCTTAAACATAAGGGCTGCTGACTTGGACTCTTCAGTTGGTGAAGATGTATCGATTTCAGCTTCTTGTTGTGAAAGAATTTTAAGTTTTTGCAGAACTTCCGTCAAAACTTCGCTGCAATCATTCATTTTTGGCATGTTCTTGAACTCTGGCAAAGGACTTCGTGTCTCGGACGACGTGGGAGTGCTTGAAGTGATCTTTATTTCTACTGGAGCAGTAGGTATTTTTGCTGTAAGGGTTTTGGGAATATTGTTTGATGATATTTGTGCGCCAGTTGAAATAGAAGGTCGATGCAAATCCGTGGTCACTTTGAAGCTCGCCTTCTGTTTGAAAGCCTCTTCCGTAGATTCGTCTTCAGTTGATACAGAAGTTACTGGAGAAAGCGTGGTGTAAAGCTGGCCGAGTTTTGGTGGCCTTTTACGTACTTTTGTTTTGGGTAGCAGACTAAGCTGAAGCTGTTGTAGCTTCAGTTCAGCGACCGTCGGTGATGTTGAAACAGGGTTAACCGTTGTTAGGCTTCCAATACGGAAGGGCAGCTGTGTAGGGGGCTCGGATTGGCTCGAAGGCCCAGGATCAGAACTAGATCGTTTTGAGCATTTCTTGAAATAATTAGGAAACTGCTGGGAAGAGGGTTCTACCAAGTTAATTTCTATTTGAGGCATTAGAGAAGCTGTACTGCTCAGTACTGCTGCAACAGGTGAAGAAGACGGAGTTGAGAATGTGACTTCCGTTGGTTGTTGGGTCTTCATACTTGGGGGTTGCGCCGTTTTTCCATCTGACAATACATCCGAATCGCTGAAGACTCTACGACGAAAAGGCGCTTGAGGCACTATTGAACCAGATATACCGGAATTACCGGCGATTCTTTGACGCTCTTGCAATGATCTGGTGCGACGTATTTTATGACGTTCCTGATGCTTTTCTGAAGTCGCCGCATGTTCCTCTGTTGTTCGAAAACTCCGCGGCAGTGAGCCATACTTCGGAGTAGAAGTAGATCCTGCTTGCTTTACAGTGTTTGCTCCGCCCTCGTCTGAGTCCACCTCAGAAAAGAGAAGATTCTTATAGACCCCGCCGAGTGACCTGTCAGCATTCCCCAGAGAACGGTCGTTCGTTTTATCGCGGTTTCCGACGAAACTCTTAACGAGATCCTTCACAGTCTCTACCGGTCGCCGATAGACAAGCGGCTGACTCAGGGACCGTTTCGGCTTTCGCCTGGTGGCATTCTCGATTTCGATCGATTTCTCGAGCTGCTCGGCGAAGCGGACCTCCTTCTTGTTGTCACCAACCGAGTTCGTCCTTCGAAGGATGGACTTGCGGTTGTCCTCTGACTCCTCGGAAGTGCCGGAACTGTGGTTTTGTTGCTGTAGTCGATGTTCCATTTCTTCACAGAGTAACACATAGGCAAGGCAGGCGAGAATGACGGCGAAGTTGAGAAGAAATGAGAAAAGTCGAAATGAGAGAGAAAGGAGTGAGTTCTCGTGTCGCGGCAGTTTGCCGCCGGTTCGATCAGCTCAAACCGATGGCAAAAATTATCAGGAACACCGCCGGATACTCGCCGCGATGGCTGCGACCACAGCAACGCCTGACTAAAACTCTAATCTTCATCTTGACGAGCCTGACATCGCTGAAGTGCTGTCGTGCCAATCTCTCACAACGCGCTTCTCGCTGTTACGTTCTTACACCTGTCGTTTTTTTGCTAGGAAGTTGAAGTCCAGCGTTGCCTTGCCAGAACAGCAGCTAATTGAAGTGATCTCGACTCTTAGGAAAAGGCAACTAAAACGGTGACGGTTAGCTCATAGTACATATTATCCTCCCGAGCGATTCTATAGGCGTGCATCAGCACATACATTTCTGTTCTATATCCTGTGCTGTATCAATAGTCACTAATCACGGTTCAATAGTCCACTACACTTGTAGTAAACCCACAAATTGATGCATTAAATGATTGCAATACTGTCAAGCTTCACTTTACCATATAGATGTGTCAAAGGCATTCGATAGCGCTGAAATCATTTAACTACCATAATAGATAACCAGCGTTACTATGTTGATCTACATTTAGCTGGGTCTGGCATTTCGGCGGACACGTACTCTACCGAAATCCATCGATAGTAACTGAATGCACAATATTACGTACACTTGGATGCTCCGTCTAAACACACCATAGAGTGCACTGAATACAGAAATAACACATGAGATCTATACGCAATGTATTCCCATAACAATGTTTTTATGTTTCAACCAGTTAGAATAACCAAATGCACCAAACACTGCAGAAACGAAAACTCTATTATAGAGTTTTCATTCTTTTTGCTGTTCGTTCCACAACCGTCAAGTTCTGCGCCGTGCTCCAAGCTTGCTCACCCTTTTTGTTATCATTACTTTTCCTTTCGCTGCTGGTGTCCCTTCGGCATGTCACTCAGACGCGAATTAACAGTAATGGTATACGCCCGGTTTACCACACAGCACGGTCACGCCTGCAATACCAGAAACCCAGAATAGCTTGCTTTCCGTTGAGTCGCAGTCTGCTGGTGAATCGAGGCAAAATGGTATTAGTACCCGCAGCGCCATCGAAGAACGCCAAGGCGGCTGTACGGCGTAGACTCAACAGATACTACTATCTCCAGTGCCAGCCAATAGCATGAGAAAAGGGCGAGAGAGTGCGACGGTAAAACTTTGCTCTATATATCTGTCGGAGAGCAAGACAGAGCAGGGCATTTGTTGTATGCTGCGCGAACATGTTCATGCCCGACCCAAACGAATCGAGAGAACCCGAGTAAAGAACAACCGAATGTTTTTCAGGACCATTTTCACTTTTCGCTGTGTGCCGGAGAGAAGCCAACTGGGCAGGAAAAGCAGCGAGGAGGGAGACGCTGACGGGCCCCGTAAAGCAAACCCGCCGATGAAGGCAGACTAGCCAAACGGGCCTTACTGGTTTGTTAACTTTCTACCTCGGCAAGGAAATTTGCTTAAAAAAATTCAGAAAAGGGTCAATTCTTTCAGAAATTGAAACCTAGCGAACAGAATCGCAAATCGGGCAGAGCATATCAAGCCCAACGCATGTAGACGTAATCCAATATAGACAACGACGATAGTATGGATAATGTTAGCTCGCCAACAGTAGTAAAATGTAGTCCTTCTTAGCCTTCTAGCTACGATCAAACTGTAACAGATGGTGGAGATGTAGTTTCAACAATGGCGTTGACCTACTGCGTCTTGCATCACCCATCAAAAAAAACCGAAGCATTATCATTCAGAGCATTGTTATTGTATACCAAACTACATTGGCCCGGCAAGTCTAGGTTGATCAAGTAGGTTTCTCGATGTATGTGATTTTCAAGGCTTTCTTTGACAGCAAAGACAGACACCGGTGATACTACGATAGAACTCAGGTTGTATCCGCATACGCTTAAATTTGACTTATAACCAGATGAAACGCTGTTTACACGATGTGGACTTACGACGATAAATTCTTTTTCTGTTCTTCCGATAGAAAGACGGCATTAACTTTTTATGGTCATCACAGATTCAACGTAAATATATAGAGATGTAATAGAACAGTATAAGAAAATTTATCGATATGATAAATTGTTGTATCTAAGATTATCTATATTCTTTTGCAGCGATCATATATGTATTTGACTTCTCAAACTGCAACAGGAGCTTCAATTCACCGCCCACTATTTGAGACGCTGTTTTTCACCGTCAAGGCATTTACGCCTATCGGCAATCTATCACTCCCAAACAACTACTATCACTTTACAGCAAGAATAAATAAGCGTATAATAGTCAGCTTTTTTTCTAACAAAAGATACTCAATTTATTCAATATTTTAGTCGCTCTTCGGTGGTGTAAAAATAAAGCGTAAATATTTCTTCCCTAAAATAATAGGTCGAAAAATTCCATCTTCCTAATACGTTCTATATATATGTTTATCTAAAATCTAATTCTCAAACTTCTAGAGACGCTACCATGTACATAAAGGCCTAAAAAATATTAGATGCGCTGAAGTGAAAAAAAGTCCGCTAGTGGGCTCACTTGTAAGGCATCCCGTTTCTGCCCAGTGCGATCTTATCGCTATCGTTACTGTCCTCCGTCGACTAAATTCCAGGCTTGTTGATTATTTCCAAAGAATAGATCAGGCTATATCTTGCTATCGACAGGCACTATATTACCAGACAATATAATAATATAGTTTGAGTATGCCAACGATGTAGTGCATTCGGCTACCTTAATCGAATGACCGACACGGGCACTCGGGTGAAATTTCTCTGAGTGGTTATTAGAGTCTGGCAACGCTCTGAAAAGTAATAAACCTACGCGTAAGTGCTGTCGACTATTTTTTTCTTTAAAGAACACAAGTTATAACATAAGTCAATGCTGTTGCTTTTGTGTTTCATTTCCCATCCATTACTGTCAACAGTGAATGTAGTTGTTTGGCCTAAACATTATTATGGCCTATGTTTACTATTACGAGTAACTGCAAGCCTGGGTTGGAAGGAAGCTGGCATCAACATCACTACCGCCCTAATCGGGATCAAAGTAATCTATATATCACAAAACTTATAATAAGCTAAACTTGGAATAGATTTGTGGAGTAGCGTTCCGTAATTATGTTTTCTCCGCTACTTCACTATTCTATATAGGGCTGACGCGCTTATTCGAGAAACTAAATAACTTGTTTCACTTTTTTTTTTTTTTTTTTATAGACCTGCTCTATACCTTTGACCGATAGGCTAGTCGCTATCATTCTAACGAGCTACAATGTAGTGGTTTGCGTGCGTGTTTTTTTTTGTTTATCTTATTTTTACATGGTTATCTCCATCCAGCGATCTCATTGTATCGCCCAAACATAAATTAGCTCGCTGAATTAAAATGGAATGATTCGACAGCGACAGCGACATTATTAGCAATAAGAACATTTACGTTTCATAACATTGTAGAAAACAATACCAAAAAGAGTCTGTCATATAAGACACTATACATTTGCTACGCCAGACACCTTGGTAAACTTTATAGGAAAACACTAAGCAAACTGATTCAGCTACCTAATTATTTAAAGCCGCTACAGTAACCACTGTAGTTGAATCCCTGACATATGTTACATTAGCACAAAAACACTATAATAAAACATAGAGAACGTACGCGCGAATCTACACAGAACCTAAACTAAGGAAACTGTTTTTTAGAAATGGAAAAAGATTGTGCATAGGCGCGCTTTTTCAAATAATTACGCCATTTGTACCTGCAAGCACAACAACTTCAGTTTTGATGCTTATAATAGGTTCTTGTCAGATTAAAATGATGACACTTATTTTTGCTGGATTCCCTGTCTCAGCGCTTATTTTACGAATACAGAATCGGTTGCTTTTGTTATAACTTTGGTGTAACTAGTAAGTTAGGTAATTTTAAATTACCTAACAGTAGGAACGGGTGCAGGTTTAGCTAAGTGCAGCTTCCTTCGCTTTGAGACGATACTGGTCGCCTCGACAAGCCAAAATTTAGAAGGGCGAGTAACGGCCATTTGATAAAAGTAACTAACAAAGAAGTTCACACCAGCTACTAAACACGGAATAAAGAACTGTTGCATGAAATTTAGGAACACTTTAGGTGGTTTAGGTTCGAAGCCGGGCGCAGATACGCTTCATTTCGTGTTGAGAACCAACCATCGGAAGCAATGCTTAACAGCAGTAATGAACGTAAAACTCGAAAGGTTTATTTAGGCAACACAGCTAACGCCATATTATCTAGCAACACGCGTGGTGGCAATGTATCGTTAACTGACAATTCTAGTGGCTAGAACAAATTATTCGTTTAGCTCATCTCCGTCAGGACAGAAATGATCTAACTCGAACCTGGGCATAGGCACACGGTTTGCTTCATGGTGGGAGCCAGTCACCTGATGGAATTATGCCTAAAGGGGATATTAGATGTAAAACTTCAAACATAGACAGTATAGAAGTAGATGGTAGCTTGGTGCGCACTTCGTTCAATTATGGCTAGATCAACATTATTGCACGCTTACAAGTTTCGCAGTAATGTCTAAAGAGACTCACCGAGTGAATCATTAGAGCCAAGTGAAGGTCGGTCAAGAAAAATGTAATATTATTGCGTTCGTCAGGGCAGCGGAAAGGAAATAGTTGTAAAGCAGGCCGCAGTTTAAATGGACGAGCACTTACGGGGTCGTTCAAAACCGAAGAATCCACCTGCCACTCTATTGTAACCAAATATCGAGAGCATTGTTACTTGAAGTTTTGGATGAAACACAACTCTTCTCGCAAGGGTTTTGGAAAACCAAAACCTGATCTCACCAAATGTTGTTTATCTGCAATGCTTACATAAAATAAATTTTGTGTCCTATATTAATAAAGAATCTCTAAATACACCTCATAGCAGTTGTATTTTCTCGCTGACGCATGTAAAATCCACTATCGACAGAGACTGAGGCAGTAACGTGTTGTCCTTGAAAGGTGTCCTGAATTTACCTCAGTATTTCGGCGTTCCTGCGTGACAACATATTGTTTTGTAGTACTGAGAAGATTTCATAACAGACATATTTTTGTGATAGAAGAACCGTGTTAATTACCAATTCTCATGGCTACTCAGTTCATGCTATTTCAATTCTCATATAATAGAAGCTCTGCTGGTATACACACTGCATGCGACAAGCAAATAAATAGCTTTGATTTTCAACGAAAAAACCTTGCACATCCTGCCTGTTCAAAATTTTTGTCAAGATCTATTGCTATAATACTATTTCGTTCGCTATAATTTCGGCTAATTGAAGGGATGTAGACAGACAAAGTACTAACCGGTTTCCTTACAGTTGCCAATGATGAATCATCACCGGAACGAAGCAGAAATGCAGATAGGTAATTCAAAAGCAGAGGCTCCAAGCAACAACGCGTAACTGCCACCATCAAAAACGACCTTGACGGGCCTAAACCAGTCGTGCATTATCGCTGTGAATCGGCCATGCAATCTCCCTAAGCGCAAATGGCCAGCGTCATCGGTGCTAGATATTTATGCTATCTATATATATGCTAAATAAAGTAAAGTTAAATATCTCCATATGTTTGTACGAACCTCAGCATGTCATCAATATAAAAGGTAGTCAATATTGTTTCAATTAATAAAGAAATGGAAACCGACAAACATCTTTTTCGTTGACAATATGGTAGTTTAGTATCTCATAGTAGAAAAATACAGTTTATTTTCGTTTACATACAATCTGACGGGAGATCCGTAATTTACAAAAACAAGTTATCCATAGTTGTAAATATTGTGTGTAATATATATATATATATATATATATATATTCATACATGAAAATAATGCAGCACTATACGATGAATAGAGCACTTCTTGGAATTGTAATGAGGGCCTTAAGCAGTGCATTGTTTCATAAAAAAACTATTTTCTTAACGAAATATGAAATTTCATTTCAGCTTATTACTTCGCTGCCGCTCTGTGCGTTATATTGGTAGTGGACTTTTGGCTTATGAATTCCTTCATTGCATTGTAGTCCTGCCAACATAAACTGTACTACATATTTAGTTTACGTTTAGTTAGGATCCGTTTCTTTTCTTGTCCCACAAGCACTTGTTTGACGGACATGTATGAAGCTGTGGCGCAAAACTGACACCTCTGCTAACGTGAGGTCTCAATTAATTTTTTCACACTAGCTAGCTCGCACCAGCGACCTCTATGATCTACAGCAGAAATTCTTTGTAGCGAGAAGAAAGCGCGCGAAAGTTCGAGATATCCATGTGACGACGTCTGGTTTGGCTCTCTCGCCGAGTGCCGTCTTAGCCGTTCGACCGGTTGTTTGTCAGTGGCATAACGTTGGTGCACTGGTACTAGCCACTACCTCAATTGTCGCTGTCTTGCATCGTGGTTCCCACAACGGCTTACTGCTCCTCCATGCCGGTTGATCCGAATCACTGTGCCAAACTCGACCATAGCGGTTATGTGATTCGCCATTGGCCTGAGTGTCTGCCAAGCGTGCAGTTCTGACAGTTAACGTAAATTTGCTGCTGGCTGGATGCTTACTCGGTGCTATTGTAGGGCGCCACCCGTTCGAACACGTCCCCTCCATTTTACGTCCATGGGTGACACGATCGCTATGCTCCATACGCATGAAGAAGAAAAAACCTATCAACAACGGTCCAACGCTTTGAAATCCTCGAAAACAATCCACTCACAAGCAGCAGCTAGTCGGTGGCGAGCACTGCAGACTGTCGAGAGCTGATTGACAGGGAGTAGGCTATACCAGTTAGTTTCCACTGAAAAGCTCAGCGCTTGCTCGTCTTTGTATCTGGGTAGCTGCCTTATGCAGATGGCGGTTGTGGAAATTGCGTTCAATGTAAATATATTGTAAAACGAAAAATCTAAAATAAGTGCTACAGTTACAATCAAATCATAACTGGAAGGTTGCCGGCGGATTGAGCATTCATTGCTAAACTGTACAAAGTAGAATTGGTGCGGACGTCAAAGAAATACCATGGTCGAAATCTATGCTAAAATCGCGAGCCGAGTGATAGCTTAATTTGTGCAAGAAGTGCGAAAAAGTTTGCCGGTATTATTGAATTTATTGTTATTATTGAAGTGAATTTATTATGTCTAATAAAATATTGGCTGGCAAGTCGGAGTCAACTAACAGACTTTTTAGTGAAAGCTTTTGACTCTCTATTTTCACGCAGTACAGAGAATAGCTCTGGGTTCTAAAGCATTTCTACTTCCATGTAAGTAGTCGGCTGCAATGATCAAGCAGGCGTGAACTTAACTTTCTAATAGATCTCACTGACAACAGCAACGACGGTAACACGCCTTTGTGGCCTTTTTCGGAGCGCAGCATAAGCTGTGAATCCGCTAGCTTGGACAGAACATTGTTCTCGTTATCAATAGCCGCAGCTATCATATCATAATCGTATACATAATCGTTCAACATAATCGTTGAACGTAATGGCGGTGGGTCGAGTAAGCATCGCCCTAATAGGACTCGCATGCACTGTCCTAATAGTGGCCCTCTGGTTTGGTAAGCATGAAGAAAATGAGACACAGAAGCGGCTACAACTTATTCTCGAAGGACTTCTCAATACGGAAAAGCAGGTTAGTGAGCGAGCAACCTATGAACTGCTACTAGCTAAATATGAAGTTAACCCATGGCTTTGTGATAGAGGCCTGCAATAGTTATATAAAAGAGAAAGTGAGATTGTTCCGAAAAATTAACGGAAAAAGAAAATATAACGATAAAATAATAATGATAAGCAAGTTTGGCGGGTTTTACCCGAACATTTATATTTAGGTCAACTAACGTTTTTCTTCCATTGAACAAACCCTATGGAGAAGACCTAATTTTCAGATAAATCCTTTTTCAATCAAAAAAAAGTTCTTCTAGTAATCTTCATATATACGTTATACGTCGCTATAACATATATATTTCTGATTATTCCCTTTATAACTTTTATACTGAAACCAGTCATTTCGCCCCCTCTCGGAGTATAAGCACTAATCTCTGTAGATGAATAAAGGTTACTGATGCGTATTGCAAGAAAGCTTGTATTTACATTGACAGTTAGTACTATTCTCTAAAGCTGAAGTCCGTAGAAGTAAGGTAACTTCGTTTTTGTCTTTATTTCGCAAGACATGTTGTGTAATGTACTTTATATCAATGGAGAGAGCACAAAATATGTGGAATCGGTTTTCCTAGGTAAAGGCCTAGTGTACCATACTACACGTTGTACACGATGTGCTAGATACAATGAAAAAGTAACATCCATTAAAAGTAATACAACCGGCTTTGTGTATCGTTTACGCGAAGCTACACAAATTAGCCAAGAGATCAACTAACGGACGCTTGAGCGTACCAATCGTCATGTCTCCATATTCGTGTTCTTTTTAGGCGTAGACCGACAGTTGTGACCTTCATTGAATCATGTGCTTATAAATCGAACCGTCCTAAAATTGATCAAGCCTTTGTTAGAGCTGCTATTTGCTGTATAACCATGAAATAGAGATGGAGTTAGGTCCCAGAGTGCACAAATGTTTATCTATCTGTAAATTTCGTTTAGATATTACATGAGGTATATTTCCTTTGTTATGGTGATAGATATGTACGATATAATAAAAAGAAATCATTGTTACTGAAACAAATTGGCTAGCGTAATAAACGTAATGATGTACAAGGAAGTTTCAGTAATTAGTTTACCTACAGATGTTCTGCGAGCCATCATAATATAACCTGTGAAATATAGCACACCGATAAATCATCATATGTGGATCTTCGGTCTAAAAAGGAAAACGAGTAGGATTGAATACTTTAAATAATTGGTGCTACGAGCAGAACAAGTTTTGTTCAATGAAAATCGTGCGCATCGGCTCGACAGAATAATCTCTTGTTTATTTTTCTCACCCCGTCCATTTATCTGATGATAGCGAGTGAACGCATTATTGGTACGCATTCGGCAAGGGAAAGCAGTTAGCAACAAAATTTATATAAATATTTCACAAAACCTTCTTAAATGCCCGGTTTTTGTCGCTTGCCTGGCTTTCGGTTCATTTCACGTAGATTCGCGTAGCTCCTTCAACTCGGATCGCAGTTGGTTTTGGATCCTGTCGCGACCTGATTATCCCTTCAAGACAACTCTTTCGAAATTTACAAGCACCGAATGACCCTCAAAATCACGATGTGATCAACACGCATGATGAACTTCTCGAAACTTTCACATACTACTTCAAGCACGGGGCTGCGGCGGAGTAAGTTAATACACGCTTCTCGATATATAAATATATTCATCTTTTTTTTTAGCAATCCCAGGATGCTGCGCAGACTTGCGTTTGTGACAATCGGAACGTAAAACCCGAACAGGGTAAACGCAACACTTAAATCATTTAGAGCGCTCCCAATTAAGCCTAAGGAATTGAGTTAACTGGATGTAGGCGCTGCTGATTGTGCGTTAAATATGAGTTTAAAAATGAGCCCTTGCATAGCCATAGCTTGGATGGCTAATTTGAAAAGTGCACTAACTTTAATTTATTAATTATAATAGGAGAGGTCATGCAACTTTGTTATTATGTCGTACTTAAAGCTGTATTACTACCGGATTGGAACAGATACAGGATTAGTGTTCTTAAGGCTCATATTTTATATTGGCAACCTTGTTATATGTTAGATCATTACTATTCTTTATTCAACTCGTATATGACTATGGCCAGATAAAGGCGTCAATCATTTTGTGAAAATCAGCGCTCTAGTTTCAACAAAAAATTGTAGTTTGCTTGTATTTGACTATTTGCAAACGGGTTTACTGGCTTTACAAAGAATATTCTGTTCTTTTCCATTTCGAGATCAAAATTACGATCACTGCTGGCCGCCCTATGTACTACTGCTGCTGCCAGTATCTATTAAAAATCTTGGATTTAGGCCCTTTAATGGCTGTTGATAAAATGATAAACCTCAAGTTGATTTTTCAGTGACTTCAGTATTCATTCTCTAATGATTTGGGCATCCATTAGATAAATACACATCACGGGGGTTCAGGAGGATGCGCGTCTCTTTTGTAAGGTGCTATTTTCATATTAGACATAAACCGTTACCCCGTTGCTATGCCAATGATTTAGTAAGTGCTGGTAGCTTCAATATTTACCTTAGTATGCTCTCTCCACAACAAGATAAAGTCTAGAGCCAACAGTGAACGGTACTGCTGCATGATGCGCTGAAAATACTGTACTTCTTTCTCGACACACGAGTGCATTTTGTTCAAACATCTATCTTCTCACCTGAGTGAGAATTGTTATTCCTGCTGTTTTCGTCACCTAAAACTTAAACATTATCCTATCTTCATATTTCGACATCAATGATGACATCTAGTTTGAAGTCTAGTCAAACCTTCATCGATATGTAGTTTTCCAATTTTTCGTTATCCAAAAGCTTCGAGTATACGTCCGTCCGTGGTAATTGCGAGTTTTATTCAAGATTTTATTTTGTAGTAATCCAAACAATCTTAGTATCATACACCTATTTAGACAAAAAGTATTGTATGCACGGTTGGTATAAATGAGGCATCCTCCTAAAGTATAATAATAATAATTACACTTAATCTGAGGAATATACATTATACATATACATATAATATACATAATCTGACACACACACAATATACATAATCTGAGAGATTAATCTTCCAATGTGTTTGATAAGCTGTCATTGTACTAAATAAAGTTGTAACCTTGAGATTACTTCCACCCTTTTTTAGTCTTAGCCTGAAAAGCTCTTATGTAAAAAAAAATAATACTGGTGACTATTGCTGAATATAGAAAATGAGAGTGGTTCGCTCATATTCAGTAAGCAATAAAATTGTGTGAAATAAAATTTTAGCAGCTGTCAGGGAATATTTTTATGGCCTGATATTTAATATGGCAAAATAGCAGTTGATCTGTGAAGCGATTCGAAATAAGCTCAATGCATGCAGGTAAAAACAGGTTTCTTGCCTAGCTTAAATTAGATATGTTAAGTACGCATTCAAGTTGAACAGGTTGTTTGTAATGAGCCTTAGGGTTTATTATGCTTACGCATACGTGACCTAGATATTGATAGAATGATTAACCTAATTTATTCTGCCTTTCCACAGACGATTCGTGGCTAATGCAACGTTATTCCGAGAAATTCTCCAAAAGGCTAAAGCGGCAGCAGACGCCCGTTTTCACATGGGTGGTAATGCTGCACTCATGGCGACTCGGTTCGCTAAAGAAGGCGCTGAGGTACTAACTTTACTTCGAAATTGAATATTTTAAATGTGGTGTATATAAAAAAGCACAAAAGAGGTCGCTTTGTGTGATCATTGATTGACATGCGTAATCGCCTGGAAAATTTTTCGAGAAACGCATGGTTTTCATCAAAGCTAATTTGCATTGAAGTTATAAACACTTCGATTTGAGTTTATAATTCGCAAGCAGTAAGACTAATGAAATTAAGCCGCGTTAAAAGAATTACGTCAAGTTTCAAGCATTACGTGGTTTTACATGTACATGCCGAGAGGTTTTACTAGGGGCGCACATGTCTAGCGATCTACGTGAGCAAATGCTTGAAGGGGTTACGGTTACCGGTCCCCAAGTGGACGAGGACGACCACCATCTTCTTCTCGAATATTCCGCAGGTGAAAAGTTCGTCCAGTACCAAGCACCTCGAGCCAATAGGTAATGCTTACCGGTTCAGCTACCATACTTGAAGAAGAGTAATGATTTTCAAAAAACAAAATTTTCACAAAATTAACTAGTCAGTATGCGCGTATGGTTTTCGGTTATAGGAATTCTGTGTCATCTCTAAGTCGAATTGATGTTAAATAAAAAATAAAAGTAATATCCCTAAGAGAGACAGGATGATAAAATATTTTGTTACTTTATTAACCAACAAATTATCTTTCTTCCTAAATAAACGAAATTGAGTTAAATTCTAACATAATTTATAAATAAATTAATCCGGAAATTAAAAAAGGATTCGGAGGAGAAAAATGAACGGGATACCTCCTGATATTTTAACTCGTGAATAATATTTTTTTAAAGAAATCATAATTTTCAGGGTATAAACCCAGTAGCTTATAATAATACCCATGAATAATAAACATGAATCATTTATCATATTGAAAATACCTTTCAACGTTTTTATTTTACGCCTATGAAGACCGGGAGAATTATGTAAAATGGAAAGAATTCGAACTGATTTCCTTCACACGCCCAACACGGTGTCGATGTTTCTTTTGGCTTAGAATCTACTGAGTGTTTGCTGTGCCTTTATTTCTGGCTATCACATTTCAGGTTCATTATTCACAACGACCATGCCAATCCTCGTCTGGGCTCTGTTGAAGGTTTTAGCGAGAAGATGGTCAACTTTTCTCCATCATTGTTCGTCCTTGGAGGTGTTCAAATGATGGACAACTTCCCTTTCCAAGAAGGTACTCCAAACAGTATTACCATTTATTAGACTGATTAGGAACCTCCCACCTATAAGTGCTTGCCCTAAAAAGGTGTGACTTGGTGAAGGTAATATCAGTTTAGTACGAAAGTTGCGACCGCATTTTTTCTAATACTTTACGAGCTTTGGAACCGACCTTAATGTATGTTTAGCACAGCAGGTGACCCAGAAGACATCTGCGTTTGGTTCGAACAAAAGTTAGTTCATAATTACATCCGGACATTACCGTTACCTCGTTTCACATACTAACTGAAGAAAATGAACCCCCAATCTACTGCAACGAACGGCAGCCGGCGACAACATTAAAAGGCGTTTGTGTATGGACAAAAATTGCGTACCAAGAAACCCCTGACTAACAAGTTACCCAATAATCAGTTGGCAAAATGAACATGTTAAAAAGCCTTGAAACTAGAATGTGTTCCTATCGAGCTTATCAACAATCAAGATTTCTACAGCAAGGTTAAGTCCTAAATTGTTTTTTCTTGTCACCTATTGGTTGTTATCACGCAGGACAACTTGACAGGGCAATGAATCGCCTACTGACAGTGCTTGAGGAAGTTCCTGATACGGCTGCCGTCCACTTCGAGATGGCCTCATACGTCGATGCAGCATTAATGCTCCGGATCATACATCAGGTCTTGCCATTGACGCAGTCACTTGGAATGAACGAGCAAGAATTGCCTAATCTTATTTCATTGCTGAAGTATGATAACATATCGTACGTGGCAGATAGTTACCCCCGGGTTGCTACCGTCCTGGACCAAATAAGAGAACTTTTCCGGTTCGTATATATCTACGAAGCTATAAGTGCTATTGTGTGGTATATTATGAAGTAATAGCTGTGCGAGCTTCACGATTTGATGAAATCACGTTTTTACTCGCTATAAAGAGTGTATATAGAATTTTTGCCAAATAGCTCAAGTGTTCGGGAAGCTGCGTTGAGTATAACATATAATATATAAACAGATCCCGAATGAGTTGGATTATCAATAATCTATCAATAATAATAATAATAATAACCAAGTGACAATACGCGGTATCCACGTAGAAAGCAGGGAGTATAACTTCATTGCTAGTCAAAAGTACTAACTTGATTTTAACAAATATTACTCACAACGAAATACAGTATCAAGAATTCGTTTTATTTTTATTGTATTTTGGCGTTGGATGTGGCTGTCGTTTGTTAGAGAAACGTGTGCATCTAGTATGACCGTACAATTTCAAACATAATAGCATAATCCAAAGATGGTTAAATACGTTCCAACATTCGCCATGGATTGGGATAAATTAACAGTGTCAGTTCATAATGATTTCCACAAAAGATCGTCATGATGCTAACAGTAAAATGACTGATTGCAGTTTACTTCATTCATCCAAGCCACAATCTCGACCGCTTTCACGAATTCACATTCACACTTTGGCTTTCCAAGCCATTCTTCGGGTAATAAAAGACCCCAAAAACGCCGTCCGAGAGTGGAAAGCCACAAGGGCTTCTGCTGCAAAGGCTGCTTTAACTGCCCATCGGCACACCTGTGGTTCGCACGAAATCGATGTCAATCAGGCAAAGGTTTGAATATGCTGAAATTCGATAAACTGCAAGCCTATTTCACATATCATATATACCATATGTATGAATCTGAGAGCAATTGTACGGCAAGTTATACTAGCGATTACCATAAATCGCTTTTTCAAGTTATCCTATGTGTATTTGTTTTCATGAGGCGTAGAATTTCTATGGATGATCTTTACGCAGTGTTCATCTAAATTGTTCTATAAAATTTGCACAGTATCTGTCAGGAGCCTGGAATTGTGCTCAGGTCTAGAGCTGCATCGATCTCTGGACTGTTCCGGGCTTCGTTACTTTTACGTACATGAGCTTCATAGCGTTTCAAAACATAGTCAGGCCGACATCTATTGGCGAACGATAATTTGTCTACGGTTTGAATTGTTTCTTCGGTTTAAAATTACAGATCATTATGGACGACTCATTCACGACAACTAATGGGCCTAACCGAAAGCGTATTCCATTTATGCCTGATGATCCTGTCCGCTGTTGGAATGAGGACCTAGATGGACCCAATGTCGAAATTGAATTCTGCGTGGCGCCTGTTTTAGTGTGTACGCGGGTACTGCAAACTGGCGGTGGAGGTGACAATGTCAGCGCGGCTGGACTCGTGCTACAAGCGTAGACCAGAAGCAAGCTCACACCCTTACAGATTATTAGAAATTGGCATGGAGATGCTTTAATTCACTGAATAGATAGAGCACTTTCACGGCGTCCTTTAATGCAGAGATAATAGAAGTCCTTTTTCTTCTAGGTTTGATATAGGGTATATGAAGAGGGCCTGTTCTTTTGCCAACCGTTTTTTGCAAAATTTCTTTTGTAAACCATGAAGACATCGTGTCAACTAATAGCGGATCTTATCTATGGGAGAAAACAGTCCTTTGAGGTGCCTTCTCAAGGTTAGCAAGTAAAATGTTTCCCTGGCTGATCCTAGGCCTAGAGTGCCTTATAGCTTTCTGGTTCTGCAGTCTTTTAAACACGACTACGGAAAGCCGTAAAGTCTGCACATTCGGCCTCGTAAACGCACCAAGCTAGCAAGTGGTATTTTGTTTCTAAGTTGGATCAAAAAAATAATGTAGTTTAAAGGCCAACGCATATAGGTATTGACAAGATAAATGTCTAAAAATATCATGGAGATAGAGACTAATCTTAGGTTTTTTCAATCTTCAAGGTGAGTTTTTTTTAGGCTTTTATTCTTTACACCCCAATCTTTTGTATATACCGAAATTAATAACTTAGTAGTATTTCTTGTTGTTTTTAAATCTTTTTAAGCTGTTTAAACTGAATTACATTCTCCAATCAAAGTTATAAGGAACTACTTGGAGGATACCATGTAGGTTTCAGGATACTGACATCAGCTGAGAAATATCGTCCTGAAGTTCTGTGGTTACGTAACTTGTGATATGGATGCACTTAGCGGAGAGCAAATAACTCTACTGTCATGTTACACTGCACAGACGAATACTAGGTACCGTTGACAAAAAAGGAACCGTCGAAAGTGACAGTTAGCTGCATTGTGTAAGTCTACTGCGCGCTCGTTAAAAACAAAGAGGCTGTTATGTTAAATGTAAACAAAACTCTATCAATTATTAGAAACAATTTGATGTCAAAAAGTTCAACTACAGTGGTTGTGAAATAAAGTTCGTGGGAATAGCTAAAACTGACATGTTACAGCCGCCGAACATCTAGGGTATATGCTTTTAATGAACAAAATCAAGTGCCGAGTAAATGGATAAATGGCAAATATATGAAACAATTTAAAGAACTACTATTTGCAAGCATGCAAATCGATCATTTCACTGCTCTTTACGAGATTAAAGGCGCACTTACGCCTTTGTTAGACCTACAGGTTTTTTGTCATCTAGTTGTCAATATGTGCGTATAAGACTGTATATGCATGAAAGTCGATGCATAGACAGTGTTAGGAAGTACTTTCCTAACTGCACATTGACCTTCTAATTAGCCTATTTTGGCATGACTTGCCGGAATTACCAACGTTTGTATTTTAGGGCGAAACTGGTTCGAGCACCCAATGCCTACAGTAACCGTGCTTATTAGCTTGCTTATTTAATCTGTTATTTTTCGATTTTTCCGCACACAACTATGATAAACGTTTTTCCAAACGTCGCAAGTTAAACCGAAGTTGTTATTACATTAGGCATTACTTTGTATCGTAGACGGCAGATTAAGCCTCGACCAGCGATGGTCGTATGGCATTGCTGAAACCACTATTTGAGATATCGAAAATGGATTTCAAGTAATTATGCTGAATATCGTAGATCATGTTGACACCATGCTAACCTGTTGAGTCGATCAGGCAGATCCAGTGACACGATATTAAACACGAAATATGACTCTGCTACACGAAGCCTGGAACGCACTAATAAGCTGTTTATACAGGTGGACATATTATACATAGTAAAAGATCATCTGTTCATATGTGTTATTTAACCGTAGTATTTCACATCCCGCGTAAAAATGATTGTTAAGCAGTTTCTGCAGGGCCGGAAAACTCTAATTCACAGAAGAATAAATAAATCTAACACAACTGGGTTTACTTACTTAAATTTTCATTATATTTTTTTTGTAGATAGTTCTACATGGAGAAAACGCCTCACAGCTGGTTATAAGCTAAGGCTATAGTTAGAAAAGAAACAGGTTTCCATATTGATAAATACGTTTGATAGGTAGCGAAGATATCTCGTTCTGTAACCAATTGAAGTCTTGTTGAAAGCACGCACACTTACTTTAATTCAACGGCAGATTGATTCGACTCCGACATTCAGGCACGAATATCTAGATACAAGGTTACTGATGGAAGTGTCTTCTACCGCTGATATGTTAATGTTTGAAATTCGAGAGGTAACACATGATCACAATGAGTCGCTATTCAATATCGTATTAAAATACGTTGACTTATTATGATTTACCTAGTTACACGTTTATGTAAAATCCCAGTAAAATTCGCAATACACAAGTATGATACCTATATGGAATTAGTAGACCTAACACATCAGATGCTTTGCCTCTGCCTCTGCCCCACCTATCCTCGGCGACACCGAACGCATCCGCGCAGGTATGTATTTAAACTAACCTAATAATAATGAATACACATGGCCACATTTGTTTTTTCGTCTTGTTCCGTCGTCGTGGAGCGTAAACAAACTTAGATGACAATGATGATGATTTATTACCATTATTACAATAATGAGATGCTCGCTTTACAACAAGCCTGGGCTCTTCATCATTTTTTTCTGCATTTGCTGTTAATTTGTCTTTCTCTTTTGCTCTCGTATGCCTTTCTATCCTTTAGTATTTTACAGCGCTGTCAGCAATCGGAACTGCAAGATTCAGATAAATATTTCGACACCATGCACATTACAGCGAGCACGCCTTCCAACTTCAAAACCTTTACGAATGTTCCAGTTTGTATACCTTTTTATGCTGCAACACGTAATCCATATAATTTACCTTCGTATTAATTAGTAATCCATATAATTACCGCCTTCATATTTCGGTGTTCTTCCTTTTGTAGATCTTTTTTTTCTCCATCTTCTCTTCCGCGTGTTTAGGCATTGACTACTTCATTTCTGAACAAGTTGGCTCTGTGAATTTCAGTTCATCTCCTTTTGTCTCTATCGTAATTGTCTGACGTCTTTTTCTTTTCTGTTCTACAGAACGTTACTCCAATTTTTCCCTTATTTCTACAAATTTGTTTGTGCTGTTTTCTTTTTATCGTTTAGAAAGATGTGTCACATTTGAATATTTTGTCCTGTTTAGCTTTGCGCCATTATCCCATGTATCGTTATCTTTCGTCTCTGCCTACTTACAAACGCGTTATTACATTCCTGTGTAATACGCACGTCCTTCTGCAATAAGTAATAGAAGTAATGCCCCTACGCAAAACACCTCTTTCACTTGCTTTGTATCGCTAGCTTGCGTCCTGTTAGTTGTCGTTACTTTATTATGATCATAATGTTTAATATCCACCAGCTCAATAGAGAAAATCTTGCAAAAAACTTTGGTGGTTCCAATGCATATAACCACGTTAATGTAATAGTCGACACAAATCGCACCTCGGACTTCAAGTCACTTAGTCATCACTTCTGCGATCATGTTTTTCGCACTTAATTCGTCTATATTCGATTTCGAGCATCGAGCTGCATTTTTCTTGTTTGACTTGTTTTTGCTTCATTAGTTCGTATGTTTAATTAATCGTTACCGTCGACGTGGATTGTTTTCGTGTCGTCTCGGAGTTGTCCATGCTTTGCTCTTTTAATTTCAGTTATTTGTCTTTCGAAATCTATTTTCCGCCTTCTCATTCATTACTATAATACTTTATTATACTTCCTTAACGTAAGTACCTCTATAATTCAGTTGATTGCGTCTTTTACATAGTGTTGTTATTATCAGCATTTCGTGCATTTCTAGAGTTATTTCGCATATCTGTACCCCTCTTGCGTATTTGGTTGCAACTGCAGCGCTAACGGCCTTTTTGGGCTAGCGGAATCGATTTCGCCGTTGGTTAGTCGTGCTTGTCTTTCATGTGGAAGAACTCCATTTGCTATATACTACTCCCCTTCGCTATTGGTTCTAACGTTTTCTGTCGTTGTTCTGAACTAGAACGAATCGCCCTGTTGTTTATAAGACGCCAGGATAAAGCCCGAAAAAAATATTAGATTAGATTAGATTAGATTAGAGAGTATTTTTTAGCATTTGGTTATCTTTGATTAGCCAAAAACCGCAAACACAGCTCTCTTATCTGTGTATAATAGCACATGCGACATGTAAGGAAAATTGTCTTCTATATTATTTGATTCATTCTGATTTGATATACTGGCTCGCATTTTGATAGCGCCATTAATAGCTTATTAATTAAAAGCCAAATATAGAGCACTAGGTTTTCTCCGCAGATCTCTAGTTTTGGCTACCAGTAAATCAACCTGTGGCCAAACATTTTTATCCACGAGGAATAGGGACAGAAGGCTACTTATTTAAGAGGGGTACCGCGCGTCATATTTAGCACGAAGTCGCCACAAGTGTCCTCTTTACATGGATATCTATACAATGATGCAAACAACAGAATTCACAATGTAGTCCGTTGTATACAAGTCTTCGTTACGCGCCTAATTAAGATGGCTTTATTCGCCATCAACTAACATCATTACACTGTGTGGTCGACATCGCGTATTGAGAAAATCTTCTTTCTCTTCGTCCTTTATATATGGATTATTAATTCATTTCAGTTTGCCCATTCTATATGTTTTGTCCTTCATTGAGCCAGAACATTCACAATCCACTACCATTCCATTATTAAAGTAATAATAGTGATAGTAATAATAATATAGGAATTATGATGACGATGAAATGGGTCTCTGTGTACCTTCACATAGTAAATGTGTGATCCGCTCTCCGTGTATATGTAACACTGTAACGTGTATAGTATGAACAGCGTTCTTTGTCTGACTCCGTGTGTCTTTCGCAATCTCTGCATTTCACAGTTGTCTCCAATGCGTTTTATTATCATTATTTTGTAATAAGTAGTCGTATCATTTTTTTAGCATGGTCATACAGTTCAATAATGCGGTTTTCATTACACTAAAATAAGCACTAGGAAATTTTATTTACTAATCATCTGAGTGCTTATTATTTTTTTGATACTATTTATCTGAGTGGCGTTGCATGGGTTGCACTCGTTAAGCTTTCGTGACAACTTCTCCTTCGCAATGTCTGATCAAATGGTGCAACGGGGCACTATATGAATCGATTGTGTTTTTGTATGATGCCGTGTTGTTTTCTGTAAATGCCCATGTGCGTTTTATGAACGGCGTAGGATGTGAAGAAGAAGGGAAGGTATGGGAGCGAACTATGGATAATGAGGGCATATGAATAATATAATAATAGGAATCCTACTAATATTAATTATTATATTATTGTAGCAATAACAACTGTAATAATAGTTATCGACCGCCGTAATCGTCGTAATGCAATCGGGTGGCAACTTTTTTCTCAACGCGATTATCCAGCCACCAATGGATGAGGTGTGCTGGCGTCTACGCCATAGATAATAATGCGACTTCCTGACCACCAAAAAACAAGGGATAATATCGATGAGTGGGTTTACGTCTCTCCGGATGCCTGGACTGGGCACTTGCCTTTGAAAATACTTACAAACGATTCGGCCAGTAGCAACAGCAATAACACTGTTAACGCCAAATCTACCGACATTTTTGCCTACTGATCCTAACCATGCTTACTCAAAATGACCTGTTATTGTTTCTGTAGTTAATTTCTGATGGCGTTTTAATGGCGTAAAGTTTGATGCCGACATAATAACTTCTGACAGAGAGAGGGTAGATTGACTGGTAGTGATTGGAGAAGTGGTAAAGACGAAGCAAAAGAAATTTTTGTGGATGCAATCTTTCACATATCTTATCGAGGCCAACTTAAATTACGTAGGTGACTTGTTTAGCTTGCTTAATGATTATTCGGTCATATTATATCACCACAATGAGGTCGCTGCGTTCTTGCGAAAATTGTTTAGATGTGCGGATGTATGAAAGAAAAAAGTCGTCATAGCGACCTACTATTGTTTAGTGCTGTCTCTATCTTTACGGTGAATGAGAAAAACAGCAATTTCGCTATTCAGCTACGTGAGAGAGATGTTCCGCCGCTCTGACACGTCCTGACAGGGATTCTTTTGCCGGCAGGAAAGGGTCAATGCATTTGCGTGTAACTTTCGTCAACCATCCATATGTGTTCTCTATCATTCATATATCACTACCATCTCGTCAAGCTCTATTTTCATCTTCGGTCTCGGTTTTACCGACTCATAATTACGCAGTCATGCATGTTATAATAATAGTAGATCATCGAATCATTATCAATCAAATCTCCACTCAGAAATAATGGATCAGCCGTGTTCCTCAATTATTAGTAATTACTCAATCAGTTTGTGATTAAACATTGCATTCGGCTTAATCACTTATTAATCATTAATATTTTTTTATACATGTACGCACACAATTGCATTTTCTCTTGTCTGACATTTTCTGCCACTATGATTACTATTATTACTATCGTTACCATCAATGTTTTAGTATGTTCAATATTATCAGTATATTAATAATATCACTAATATATATGTTTATGTATATCAATATTTAGCAGTATTATTAACTATTTTTCATAATATTTATAATTATCGTTCTCAGCATTATATCTGTCTGTAGGTTTTATGGCCTTTCAGCCATTGCCTCGCTTCTTTCATGTGCGCCTTCGTCGTTAGCGGTCATTATGTTTCTTCATCTTTCTTTTCATTTATATTGGGTTATTTTCCTCCTTTTATAATTACTACCGTATTGATACCATTTCTGGATTTTTCGTCGTCTATCGTACATTATTGTTATATATATATATATATATGTTCTGACTATCTACTCGACGACCGCATTTAGATAGACCGCAATTTTTTTTATGGGTCTGTGCCGTACATTAGCTCCACACAATTACAATTTTATTTTTTTTCTCGCTTGCCTAATGAATGAGCTTGTGCCATGGTTTTCACCTACAATTTACTTACGATACAAAACTTTAAAAAGCAAAATACATTTCCTCAGAAATCAAGGGCATATTCCTGTATGAGAAGAATCAATTAGATCAATTAGAAACGATGTAGGTGAGCAAAAATGCCAAAGAAGAACCGAAACTCCTGCGTCTCAATTTCCAAGCCATCAAGCTGATCGATGCTGCCAAATCTACTGACGTCTGCTATTCCTTACCCAGTGCTGCTACATGGCATTCTATTGATTCCGGTAATTTCTTAAGTAGAAACACGTCTGCAAATTGTCAGTACAGCTCACATTCTATTCGAAATACAAATAAAAAAAAAACAAAACTATGAACATTTTCTGAAAATGTTTTCCTCTGCAACTTGACGTAGCAGCACTATTTATAGTTTTGTATCATTTTGTGGTGTAGATAGTTTTGAGCATTGTTTTCAAGTTATATCTGTGTAGGTTCTACGTCCACTATTGTAATAGAACTATTTTCAATGTACTCATTATTGCTAGTGTTACTCTTGTTGTTTTTTGCGACTATATGTGAAGACGTTCGATGTATGTCTTAGCGTTATTATAAAGCTATTACATAGCATTTGTGTAGTATAATCCACATTGCTAAGGGCCTGTTTAAATTTTATTCAATAATAAAACTAGCCTTTTATTGTCCCCATTATTTGCGTAGAGCTTTAGTGTAGAGACTAATATGCTACCTGACAAAGATGCGCATTTCTAGTACCTGCTTGTGTGTCTGAACACATCTGTGTGTGTGTCTCCGATGGTTGGTTTGGCTGCGAGAGCTAAATCCTTGGTTTTTCCATCATCATATGGTCACGCCAAAGGGAATATATAAATCCAAAGGAGTCTTACAGCGAAGGAACGGCTACAATCTCCCACAATTGTTAACGCCATTAATATTAAATGAAAACAGTTCTACTTTATAGCGGCATTGCGCAGCATGAATTTTAATTAATTGTTATTTAATTCTAGCAGCATTAAATTGTAGCAGATATATGCATTATTTTTCATAGTGATTAACGACGATAAAGGTGAATTGTCATTGGGAAATTTGCTGTGAAAATATTGTCTATGCATTTATAAATTGTGTGAATTAAACTCTCATAAAAGCAGTAATGTTATCGTATACACGTATGTACGGATGCAAACATTCGCTATGTAATTACAGTTTAAAAATGGATAGGCAGTGGCGACCAGTTCTTCTTTGTGTTTATATACTCATTTTCGTATTAAGACCGTAGACACGCAAGCAGACGATTTTTTTCATTCTCGAATTTTGCCCCAGTGCGGGCAGCCAAGACGGCTTAAAATAAAATATAGCGGTAGTTTTCCATGTAATTGTCGTGTTGAAATTATTTGACGATTCTTCATTGTGATTTTTGCTGATTTCGTTGAATTATATGTGTCTGTGGCGTTGGGAAGTTTGTTGCCTACCCTTTTTCTGCTAAAATTTTAGCCAACGTTTCAATTATTTTTTCGCTTCTCAGCCTTCAGCGCCCGCATACACATCTTATTTGTGTGTCAGGTGTGAATTGTGTATATGTTCATAGCTATCCCATTTTTGGTAAGAGGTCGAAATTAGGAAGTGGCAGTGGCTACTTTTTGTTGTTTTTGAATAACAAGACAATTTCACTACATAGAAACCATACAAATCGTAAGGGAAAGTAAGTCAAGCCATGTACACTTGCGGAAAGGATATACTATATAATGTACAAAAAAACTCACGCATGGGGTTCAGTTCATTGGTTGGGTTCGATTGGATGATGTTTGTTAAGGACACAGCAAGATGCTACAAGTCGGAGAAGGGAGCTTCGTCCCGTACGGAGCTTTATTATTTACCATTATCAATAATCCACTCTCATCATCAATCAACAGCATAATAGTAATGACAGCATAAAAATTATTCATTTCTTATGGTATAATGATAATATGGTTTGATAGTATTTGTGGTTGATAGTTTTGTTGATCTTTTGTTGCTTAATTTGTTCGATCGAGAAAAAAATACACGTTGGATATGCTGAAACCTCTAGACACTGAACGGGACGGCCGGGGTGAGCTGAAGGTTAATTAAGGGAGTTAAACACATTGCTTTGTTTGGCCCACCACCGAAAAACACTCTGAACGTATTTGCACTTCAGCATTTTAATGCCGTCCCTTATTTGCCTTCTTGCCTTCAGATTGCTCCCCGAAGATGCCCGTAAAATGGACGCTAGCACACGAAAGGAAACAGCCTTCGCTATTTTGTTTCTCCCACTAAATCCGTTCCCAATAATACGCACAAGAGCACACACACAACACCGTCCCGTCCACTCAACATCCAAATTCCTGAGATCATTCCGGTAATTATCTAGACTATGTTGTATAATATTAAATTATCGGGTAGTGGCAATATAATTAGTTGTAATAATAATTATAATAGTGGAAGTGAAATGGTCATGACAAGAATATAATAATGAAACTACATTACATCAAATAAAAATACGATGGATACATGTTACATCAGTCATAATGAAATGTCCGTGTTGGGTGCGTGTCCCCACTTCTCCGTGAGCGAGCCAGTCAGCCGGCACAAGCCCAAAATGCAGGCTGCTGGGAATGGTGCCGCCACTGTTGCTGCTGTTAAAGCAATGCTGCCTAGAGTCACTGTACATATTCTTCAGTCTTTCGTTTACTTTGTCTATTTTCTTTATTCCTGTCGTCAACACACATAGCTTTTTGCATTCACCTTCTTTCTCTTTCTGTCTCGATATCTTGTGTCTTGTTATGCCGTATTCTTCCATGTTTGTTTGTTACGCAGTACGCATTAGTCGCTTTCGTTGGCAGCTATTGTTTGTTAATGGTGCTTTCTGATTTTTGCTGATTTTTCTCCTGTACACGTCACTTGTTTAACGTATCCCATTAATAACTGAAGCTTCGTATGCGTCGTTACTTACACGTGGTATGAGCCAGCGAGGTCAACATATATAGTTTCTATGTTTTTCCTACAAATGACTCTCAGAAACAATTTCCACTGTATATACTGCCAATAATGCGCTTTCGTTCGTATATTGACAAAGAGACGACAAAAACTGGCAAACAAATGTGTCTTGAGCTGCTCACAAGGAGTAAGAAAAATGCATTTAACTGAACTGCTCGAATTCCCTATTGCATTAATTGTATGCGCAAATCATAATAATTTGATTATAATCAATCATGAATAGAGCATCGCCAAATATCTGAATGAGAATATCAATTGAAATATTTGTGTATGTATATTCCTGTTCTGTGTGTTTAGTCTGTTTGTTGGTTGTTGTTGTTTTTTTCGCAAATCGGATAACCACCTCAATAATACACGAGAAACATATGTACAATTCGCTCATCATCATTATCATCCTTCCTTGTGTCTTCTTTGTTTTATTTCCGACGCACTCTGAGTGTGTGATGTATTTCTTTTAATATATATATATATATATATATATATATATATATATAATATCGATCGATCGATTTCCTTATACTCTTCCAAATGGCTTCAAATTTTGTGCATGACACCATTTTTTCTTTTTCATTGTTTCTCCACCATCTTCATCTTGTTTTCTTTTTCTCTCTTTTCATCTCTCATCATATAGCATAATGACGTTTATAATAGCAATAATAATTATAGCAGTCATTACAGTGATCGTAGTAATAGTCATAATAATAATAATAATAATAGCAATCATCATAACCTTAGCATTAGCACAGTAGTGGTAATCGTACAAGGAACCTGATACAATGCGCGAGAGAGACTGCTCGGCAGACGGACGCTTTCTGCTCCCGTGTTTCTTCCTTCGTGTCTGTTGGCGTAGTAACTGACAACAAGTCTTCGTCGTTATTATGTTTCGTATGGTATTGTATCTTACTGTCAACCCGAAAGAAAGTCCAATGGTAGATACACTGTCATCCATCAGTAGCACGCTTTCAATTATGGTAAGAAACTCATTTGAGCAATCGGTGGCCGATTTTTATGACAGCAGACCCATCACAATGCGGTTGAAATCAGCGACACATTACGACGCATCGAGCTATTACAAAAATCCCACAAACTGCTATTGTTAAACCTGATAAATGAGGTTGTCATACAAGGCTCATAACCTACCATAGTCACGTTCCGATCGTCTGTTATCACGGTACCACCAAGAAACCACTACACTGGGTTGACCAGCAGACAGACCATATCACCGGATATCCCGTAACCTCTAGAATAAAAAAGAAAAGTTAACGACCTCAAGTAATCTAAATGTACCCAAAAGCGGCGTGGGCATTCGCAACGTGTTGCTAAATCCTAGTTTCTTTCTAAATTTATTATCGTGCCGTTTTGTGTACGGATGTTGCGGCACAACCGTTGGACATTTTACTAGCAGTTAGTGAAGACCTATTGAGATACAATGTGTTGATCGCAATATCTGCTCGGATTTGCTCTTTTTTCAACAATCCTTCTTAAATCCAATCTTAATTGCGCACATTTTTGAACTAAAAATTTTCATAAAAATGAAGCAATGTTAGCAGCACTGTAGCAACAAGTATAGAGTGATGGAGGGGCCCGAGGCGAGGATGAAGCGGGTAAAGACTGTTCTTGTGGTTGAACCTTAGCATCAGATCACTACAGAAATTGCTAGTTCTCTAAGTCCTTAGTGGCTTTCACAAAACAGACGCGCCCCGTAATCAGGCAACGGGAGTGATCAACAACATCACTATCACCGTCGCCAGTTTTCACAGAAATGTGTACGCTTGTACGAAGCCTATCAATAAGCGGAAGGAGAAAAAGCTCGCGTGTGTGCCCATGCCAGTTTCCATTATACTCCATGAAATGATGCACCACAAGGGTTGCAAGATTTAACGTCGCGGACAGTTGAACTACGTCGATATGGACAATAGAACCTATGGAGGCGCTGTGGCCAAAGACGATGGCCCTTCCAAAGCGCCGTCTCTCATTTGTAGTTCTTACCAAATCCGTAGCACCTCATTTTTTAAACCCAATTGACTTGTCGCTAGCACAAATATGTAGCAGTTATGATATTGAATGAGCATTAAAACTTTGATCGACTCTATAACTATATGTAGTATACCCATGTGCTTTCTTTTTCTTGCCTAATATGATGTCTTCGACTAAACACCATTGTTGTAGCCGTATACACATCCACTCCTGACTGGTGCATCCTAAGCATTTCAGAGGCCATTGAGGGTCGACATCCATGTTTCCTCGGTCGTGCTAATTGATAAAGCGGTAGAATCATGGGAGCCGTCAAGTCAGGTTACAGGTGGCGCGTAACTCATGTTCAACCATCGTGATAGAACATACTTCCCATAACGTAGGAGTATTGCAGAAAACCGATAATTTAATTCGGTATTTCCTCCTTTTTTCAGTGTTAATGTCACTGGCGTTGATTGTTACAGAACTAACTTCATCTTTTTGTGCTTCTTGCTCATTAACGCTCATGGTGTCTTCCATTTCACAGTTTCACGGCCGTCCTGGTTGTCATCGCCACTATTTTTTATTTGTTTCATGTCGTCTGCTACAGTTGATAGCTCCCGTTCACCGTGTCTGATGAAGGTTCTCTTTCGCGCATCGAGGAAATTGGGGATTAAAGGGATGGGTAAGGGGTTACGAGGACGTAAACGCACAAGCGCTACTTAACGCCTATCCACCATCTGATGGTGATGATGGCTTGCCACCGAGGTGTTAGACGCGCCTGCGGAACGCACGATAACAGTCTCGGATCGCGCGCCAGAATCACTTTTCGTCGTTGCTGTTGTTGTTGTCTTGGAACTCGGCCGTCGCTCGCTGAACAAATGATCGCCCTCGAGGTGTCGAATTGCTTCGACGATCGTGTCAAGGTTCTGGCGCGATGTCACCGCGGGGTTTGCGTGTCCAGAATTGACAGAACTGACACCAGAGGGCGAGTGGCACCTGGACGGAATGGCAGACCTGTAGGTTAGGCAAAGGTTGGCAAAAAAGAGCGAGACGAATAATACACTCATGAATATATAAGCGGCGTAATGTGGGTGTAAGCGTAAAGGCCGTGCGCAGGTTAAATTAAACCGAGGAAACAGGGCAAAAAATGTCAAGGCAAAAAAACAGGGCAAAAACAGGCACTGTATGTTTTAGTTTTGCTCAAAAAGCAGGAAAAACGCGCAATGCGCAATATTTGGCAGTGCACGTTTAGAACATCTATATACAGTTAAAATTATAAATTCTACTTTCACTGTTTTTTCTGACGTTTAGGATGTTAATTATTGCTTTAGGCAGCAGGCTTTTGGCAGAAACGAGGTGTGTCTACGATTGGATTTGCACCTAGATCACCATGTGTCCCTAAGTTTGACAGGCAAACACGTTATCACTTGACTATAAGAAGGACAACATATACTTATACTTTTTTTTATTTCCTTCTTGACATATGAATAGTAAGGTTAAGAAATTTTCATTAAAAAAACTTAGACACCTCCAAAGAAGAGCTTTAAATGTCATATATGTAATTAACCCAGTTGAAGTCTACGTTTCGGCCGTAGATCCGTTTGTCATCCAGTGCAATATAAATAAATACTCACCGAAACGAACAATCTAAATACTTCCTTTTCACGATTTAACCCACCCTACACAGCAGGCTAGAGAACCCTTTATGAAACTTTGAGAGGTCCATGACAGCTTACCACGCATTGCACAGAACCTTGACTAAACCTACGCTGCTATAGAAAAAAATATTATTGGAAAAAGCTATTTATTAAACAATTTTCAAAGACTGTGGCATAAAAGCTTCTATAGTGACGAACCTTGGCGGTGAAGGTGCCGGCGTAAGTTGCTGCGCAGTAACAATGTTCACCCCGTGGACAGGCAGAACAACAACTGACGGCTTCGAAATAACAGTCACTTCCTGCGGTTGCGGCAGCGTGATGTTGACAGCACCCGTACCGCAACTTAAATCCTGAGGCAGGTCGTCGGTAACCACAAACTCCTCAGTGACCTCCTCCTTCATATAGTCCTCATGTTCATTTTCAGCTTCTGACGAGTGGTCAATTTCCTGTTCATCATCAACGAGCGGTACTCGGCCGTCCCTTTCATTTACCATCTGCTGCATTCGACGCTCGACATCTTTACGCAGTTCACGCTCGCGCTCGAGTTGGTAACGCAGGTCGGAGATGAGTTCGCGTTCACAGTGCGATGGACTCATGCCGATACCTTCATCCGCGCTCTCGACACTCTCTACCGTTCGTTTACGTTTCAGAGGCATTTTCCCACCGGCCCCGAGAGCATTAGCGTTGCCTCCTGTTGTCGTGCCACCTGAATCGGAGTTATCGGAATCGTTCGACGACACTGACCCCACACCATTCTGCGTTACGTTTCGGCGTACGCTGCATAGCTGGGACAGCAAACGCGTTTTCTCCTGCTCGAGTTGGTATATGTATTCGGCGGTGTGTTGGAGGATGGCCGCCTGAAACAAGAAATAACGACACCCAGAAAACAGAAGAAAGTTAGCAAAAATTTATGTGAAAGAAACGAAGCTTTATGGGATCCATACATAGGTTAAAACTTCTTCTGATTATCTGTCAGCGCTAATAGATAATTCTGTTAGTTTGAAATAGACGCTTCCACTTGTATTTATTGCAAAATGCCTACCTTACTCATCTTTTCGCCATCACGTTGAGGCAGCAGAACTCGTAGCGATTGGAAACCCGCATTGATGCTCTGCATACGTCGACGCTCATTTGAATTTGCAATTTCACGGCGGATTCGCTTCTCCTGCTCGATTTGGGATTTCGGCGACACTACGCCGCGGTTTCCCAGCCTGGAATTATAATATATACGTTATATATAAATCGTAATAAGCCTGGAAGTTATAATGACAGCAATTGTAGACTCGTTTATTTTTCATAATTCTATTACGCCAACCTATAATTGAAACGTTGAACATGAACCACTATGCTAATTATGGGCTGCTAATTACATCTTTTTATTTTATTAAAGGACGCCACATTAATCAATACGTCCCTCAAGACAGATAGTAATGAATGATGCGTGATTTGGTCGAAATGTTTTCGGTAAAAACGGTGTCGTCATAATATTTCTTTGAGTAGCTAATAAGCTAATCGAAGCAAGGCTTCGTAATACTACGAACTGTATTTGTAATAACAACAGTAATAATCCTTTTAACGGTCTAGCAATCTCTTGACACTATATTCGACAGATTTTAACTTAATTGCGTTTATAGCTTTCGTACTCAAAACAGTTGTCATACAGCCGGGCGGGCGAGAGAACAGTGTTTTCTACCATGGCTATGTCTTCAAATTGATCTCTTGAGTTGCGCGAAAAGAGACAAAACTGTTTGCAAACGCTACTGAAGCCAGGTGTCTTTTATTGATTTTTGGCCTTTTGCCTCAAAGATACGTTGATCTAGTGTTCATTACTAGTGGACTGACGAAATCTACTCGATAAGCTGATAAGTGTCATCAAGCCATAAATAGGAATCGAATGCTACACCGCAATACAGTCGAAACCCCTTGCTGCAGATAACGACTACTAACATGTGGTTAATTCTCCGTAGAGAGAGCGAAAGCGCCAACTAGAGAAGGTATCCAAAAACAGGCCACAGTATCATCCACAACGTGAGTAGGCCAAAAGCAAAGTGGAGAACAAATCTTTCCATTGTCGGTTTTTGTCGCACTGACTCGACTTTGACAGCAACTGGTTCTCTTCTCTCCGGGTCCTAAGGAAACAAAAAGACAGTTGAGACGGAGAAGCGGGCACCGAAATGTCAACATCAAAAATTGGCCCGTATTCTTGCCCTTGAGAAGGCCACAGGTGGTTGAATCCTGCCTTGCTATGACCAAAATAATGCAGCTGAGAGGATGTAAACGACAGGTTACAAGGGCTCGGGCAGAATGCCGTTGCTTTTTCCGTTGAGCTTGCCATATAAATGCGTAGTCAATTCGAAGCCAAGTGAACTAAAGGAACGGAAGAAAGTGTTGCCAAAGAAGGAGTACTGTTCCCCGGTTATGGCATGCCCGAGCTCATAAAAGGGTTTTGAACTAATAGATCGTCGAAGCGCTCACGAGGTGACAAAGTCTTTTTCCCCGTGCCCCCTCCCCCCTCTCCCTCCCCATGAAAAAAATGTTTCAAGTTGCCACTTAAGTTTCAGTATCAATTGAGTCAGCTGTCTTTTTTCATGAAACGAAACATGTTTACGCTTGGTTTCCATGTTCCTGGGTTTAGTAGCAAAACAGGTTTCCACTGCACTGTTATGGGTAATCTTTTGCACTACAAGTGTATTGGCCCTTCCATCAATAATTTCATGTTCTACAATTCCTTTAATTATCACTTGTCATAAATTATTCCAGGTTTGTTCTTAGGCAGTAAAGTTACTGCTGAATATGGCCTCCAGTTACATTTACCCGATTATTACTGCTTATACTATCACGACCACCACCCATTACCCGTTCATTATCGAGTTAAGGACGGTCCTACCAAGTATTGTTGCCATAGACTGTTGTAACCAGGCTTTTTATGCAAGTGACGAATTGCGGTCAGCTGTTCTGCACTTTGCTTTGTCCCACCAACTGTCGTTTTACTATTCACGTCATCACTTAAATGATCCAGTGCCATAACCTCCGGGATGATTATAGTTGTATAACAATTCCTAAAGGGTTCGCCGATGTCGACTGCTGTGAGGACCAGCAGATGAATGAATATGTGGTGATGTGTCAAACCAGCATAAATATTTTAAGCTTAACGTCCCTGCAGTACTCTAGTCAACCATTGCTGCGTCAGACGCCTGGCTTTCACCACGTAACAAGATGTCTACATCTGGCCTGGTTCCTAAACCGCGTTACGTGTCCCTAGGATCACTAATCAAACAAGTTATCATTGCGCCATGACGAAAACGTCAAACACCGCCGTACATACACGACTATTGCCATTAATGCCACTGCTCTTCAAGAAAAACATATCGACGAAAACAATTTACAGCTGTGTGAGCTACCACCACTGCCCCTGCTGTTGTTGATGATAGAATCGTCATCACCATTGTTATATGCTACACAGGCGCCGCCGTTGGATCATAAAAATATCGCCATTTCTATGCTCTGTCCCACCGACCATCGTCTTGCTATTCACGTCAACACTTAAGTCATCCAGTGCTATGACCTGTATCACAAATAATTTCAGAGGGTATGGGGAAAGCATCAGCTGATCGAGGTTCAACACAGACAAAAGGGGCGGAATTGGAAGACAGATGGCCAGAAAAGAGTGAGTGAGATACAGGGTAAACTTCTCTCAATAGTGACTGCTCGGTTGTTTAACCTTGTGCTTGGCGGCAATAGCAGCAGCGCCGTCGCCATGCCAGTGTCCTGGACTCATAATCATCCAGTAGTTCTTCGGAAGCTTTTTTATTTTTTTAACTACAGAGATTAATAGTGGTTATGTAGGCGCATATTAAAAACGCTCTCCTGAAAAAGGTCGATAAGGGCGGCACGCGCGTGATATAATGACCGACAGTGCACGAGCAAGTCCGCAATAAGCATTCATTGCTATAGTATCTTAGCTAGTACTCGTTAAAAAATACGGACAAACCGGTGACACTCTCGATAACACTCACGGTTCGTAAAACGTCGACGCAATCACAGGTAACAACGACGTTAGGCGGGTCGCTGGTAGATATTTAAATGGCTAGTACGCCCAATAGCCATAGACGGTAGCAGCGAGAATACGCAAGGACATAATCCATAGATTAAATAATATAAGCGGTGACAGCACGTGTTTCGGCCATTAGGTGATGGCTGCAGAGGTACGGGTTGGGCGTCGGGGTGCTTAGCTGCGAGGGAGAGAGATGGTCCCTTTTGGATATAGAAATAGCAACTGCTCTAATATATTGTTCATTGTTAATGCAGTAGTAATAGTAGTTACTACTCGTGAAGTTAAAGAAATTACTGTCTGTAAAGAGACTATCTGTCAGACAGGAGGCAAACAGGCTGAAAAAAGCAATGACAGACTTGGAGGAGAAAACGCAGACCATTTATGGTGACGAACTGAGTACTATTTTTGGTCTGGGTTAAACACACTACAAGTGCACGTACTTGATAAACACTTAACAAATAGATCGTTTGGAAATGATCGATGGAAGTCGTTGGAATACCGTTTGTTGGAACTATAAGCTATTGTCGGAGGTTACTACCATATTAACGCGTTCATGTATCTACGAAACGGGTTCAATAATCGGGCCTAACAGTATAAGCACAACATAGAACCTACACATAATTCAAGTGGCAACATCGACTAACAACAAAAAACAAAATTCCCCAATAACATCGCGCGATAACTAGCAATCTCTCGAACAGGTCACATTATGCCTACAAACTCGGAAGTTTAAATCCAGTAAACCGATCTCCTTGGATTATACAACATTTCAGCAACAGTTAGTTATTTTGTGCTGTGGCGACAAAGCAGTTATCATCAAACACAACAATGTTATTGTAAAGAATGAGCACGGTCAGGTCGGTCGTCCCTAACGCAGCACAAAACCGTAAAGACAAAGCTGCGCGTGAGCCTCAGAATAAACAGTCATAGTAATACCAACACAGATACGTAAGTGACGCCGGTATTGGACAGTCGTTTCCACTCACAACGATGCCGCCAACAAGATCGCGTAACTCATGCATATACCTTACTCGATGGCAAACAAAACCGCAAAACCTCGTTTCCGTTGATCGATCAGCATTAATGTTAGCTCCGACAGAAATGACAGCGGCACCAGCAACGCAATGAATGTACGCAGAGGCAGTGGCTTCATATAGACTGACCCGTTCAATAACGGTCTCCTGCTGGCCGTCACCCGTCACCCTCCAGCCACCGCCGAGCCGATCGACTAGAACGGATGTTTGCGTCAACCGATACAGCAAGGAGAAGAGCCAAGCCTCTGTTGCACGCCGGGGCGTAATTCGGCGGCGTAATACTAACCATACATGGTCGAAGCAGCGACAACCAAACGACAGAGGTATAAGGACGCATCCACAACCGTCGCAGTTGTTCTATGGGTACGAATAAATACTTCTCATACTACTACGATTAGATCAGGCAACAGCAGTAACAGCGCCAGCTGTGAATGGCGGTGACGACATTTGTTGGCGTGCGGTCCGCCAGCAGCTGTTCTCATTGGTAGTTGTCCAAAATTGATTATCATCATAGTGATGATCATGATGATATATTCTGACCGATTAATCTCGTATAGTCTCACAGTACTACTTGTTACAGTGCCGGAAACAAGAAAAGGAATGTCGCGTGTACAAGGGAAAAATTAGCGTAGTAGGTCCAGTAGCATGGCTCCTCACGGTGATAATAATAATATCGAGGTGTAATCATTATAACGATATAATTATACGCAACACGGGACCATCTCTGGTTGACATATGATTGTTTTGATATACCTGAACTTGATCTTGGTCTAAGAACGTGACACCATGTTTTCGAGACATTCTGCTAATGGTACTTCTTAGCGCTTCTTCACTCTTAACATTGTATGGAGCTGGTAAAGCACCACAGGCATAGGAACTCAACGCGTATCTCTAGATTACCGTTTGCCATGCTTAACCAAGAAATATCAGATAAATATCGTATCTATCGCAAAAGCATCTAAGAACAGCTGGTAGCTACCTGTAACCATAAAACAGGGGTGTTTAAACATCTCAACTCATTTAGACACTTCTACTAACCCACGTTGAATATATGGTGGTAACATTAACGAACATTTAAAGAAAGGATCATTTCCTCTTCTTAAATGTTGTGTTGGTTCTGACACAACATGCGTCGCGTGCGCACATATACCATATAGCGTACATAAACGGAACGGGTAGTTCGCAAACTGGCACAATATTACGTACAATCATCCCACACGCAATTTTAGTTGAACAAATACGATTGACGTTTATCTCAGCCTTCAAGCATGTAGCCCATCAGCACTAGACATTTTTCCTTAGCCTCGTGACCGATCGTAGCTATAAATATTATTAGGCAGATATTAGCCGATGCTAATACATGTAATTCGCTTTGGCAGATTCGATTGATCGATCGATCGTTGTCATACAGCCCAAGAATATATACTAAAAGGCACAAACGGATGATCTGGTCTTCCCCAGTAGCTCAGTAGCTAGCGACGACTACTCGATCCGCCCGCTCTCCGTAAGACGTACGCTACGACGAAGGTCATCTCATCCAGTGCACAAGACAACAGCGAGAGGAGTAATTCGTAATAATTGATAAAGAAAGAAAGCTCGGTAGCGACAACACAGCAACAGAGTCTGCAACATGCAGCAGCATCGCGGCGCCGTTCTACGTCAGAGAGCAGGTACATAATAGGAAGCTAAGATTGATCTGGACAACCAGCGTCACTGCTGGTCGAGAAGTTTAAGGCACGATCCGATAAACTATTAGCAATGACAGGTATAGTGTCACTCATTAATAGGTAGCCAAGGTGCCACCCTTACGGAACCATGCAGGCAAGCTTTACTTAACAAGTAAAGTTAAAGTCTCTATGCGAAAGGCTAAATAGTAATATTAATCAAGAATCTTAAACGCGATTCTCTGTTCGTCGGGGGTTAAGCAAGAGAATCGTCTGCAACTTCTAACTGCACAAATAATTGCACTGCAGCAAACTTTGCTATTATATCTAGAGTGTCATTTATTTGATGGGTATCGACTAACAACGAACTATGGTTTAAGCACGACGACATGACATATGCACGTATAATCTCTGTTAGGTGATAAAACTCCTAACCGAGTACTACATATTGCTATCATCAGACAAAGTATAAATAAGCTGAAATTTAACACACTGTGTATAACAATTATTGCACTGTCATCGCGTTCAGCTGTTACATGTTCGGCTTTCTTTATTTGCACCGTTTTATCTTTATTGAGCCTGTATGCTAGTGCACAAAAGTGGAAGCCGCACGATCTATTTGTGGCCTGTCTCTCGTGCGAATTTTAGTTCAATTCAAAGAAATCGTTGGACCCACCCATCCATTACACCGCAGTTCGAATTTGATTAACGCTAAATATTAAGTTCGGTTCAAAACGTTTCTTCTCCTCTTTTAAATTCATTGTTGAGCTTACGATGTCAGTGCAAATTTAGCCCACGAACAATGCGGCAGAAGGCCGCTATACGGGCCGGCGCGAGGCCGTCCTAGCGACCTGTTTTAGGTTGGAAATATTCTAAAGTATTCGTTGAGTTGTCTTTTCCTATAGGAATTCTTCCGTTGTTACAAACGGACCAGGACACGCTAGCGTACACATGGGACACAAACTGAGTCTGTTTTTTCTCGAGATATTTGTTAAACTATCTACTGTTTGAAAATTTTATCGGGACGCATATTGGGTAACTGTCGTTTGTCTGTTTCGTCGACACAACAGAAATATACCTTATCAAAAAGCATTTCGTATAATACGCAGTTAACTCCGCTCAGCTTAACTAGGTTTATAATGTAATCTTGAATATCATGAATGTAGTGCCACATCACCTATGGTATAGGCGGAAAAATAATTAAGAGGTCTCTGAGAAATAACAACTTTCTACTGAAACCAGGTTCCGTCGTGGATAGTTGAAAAACTTGATTTTTTTAATCTAATATCATCAGCCAATTTCGTAATTTAGAATCATTATAGTAAATATTGTAGAAACGACAAAACGCGAAGAGAAGATAGCGCGGAGAAATCACTTACGTGTACAGTAGTTCTGCCATTGCTACAAGGACGTGTGCGCGCAAATTTCTGGACAGTAGAGGTCCGTTTTTTCTTTTTCCTTTTACTTTTACGTTTTCACTTACAAAATGAAAAACTTTGCGTCTCCTCGTCAACGGCAACAAGTATGCCGTGCGCGACAGAGTTACACTGAAAACAACGGGGGCAAGAGCCGTGCGGGCACTAATGACAACGTGGCGACAAATTGCCAAAAAAAAGGGGGAACAACAACAACAACAACAACGAAGATTTGCACAAAGGAACCACACTTTGCGACACTGAAGAAGAGCTGGATCGCCGTAGACAAATTTTGTTGTTTGTTTTCCAACAGACAAGCCGCCTTAATCTACATGTTGTCGCTGCTTGTCAAAACACTGGAACACAGTCCGAACTGCGCGAACCGCAATAGAAACTGGCGCAAGTCTGGTGTCGCTGAGCATACAAGTAGTGAACTGCAATCTTCTTAGTCGAATCCCTAATATGACTCCGATGTTCGGCTCTACTCTCCATGCGGTCACCGGGTCATGGCTCGCTCACCGGATCTTTCGTTGCTAGGTATTTTGATGACTAAGATACACCATGTTAAGATAAGAAACCGCAAATGCCTGCATTCTCACTGGCAATATACAACAATAAACTCGTACACTCAAAATATACCTGATGATTGATTGTAAATTAAATCGAAAACGAAATCTGTCTTGTTTTCGTTAGAGCGTATCGATTACGCGATAGGAAGCGGCCAATGAAAAGTCAGTTTTCGTTTAGCCACGCCGCCACTGCTGCTAGCTGTTATCGTTAGTTTGTATGGCTGCTTAATCGGTCGATCGGTTGAAGTGGATACAGCTGACGTGCGCGTCATACGTATACCATGGATGAACAGATGTACGTTGAGTATATCATATGTTTGAGGAAGAGGAGGCATTCTACCGAAATCGTTATTTGATACTAAGTAACAAAAGAGAGAAACACGAGGGCAATGACTGCTCCTCATGTGTAGTTGTTGATCGTTTATTGCAAGTGTAAGCAACGTGCATGGAAACGGAACTGTACTATTTCGTAGTACCAATTAATCATAGGTATTTTCGATGTGTACGGATCTCGTATGTGTGGATATGGCGACTAGCATATGCTCGTTAATTTTTTCACCACGCAAAGCATTAATAGCTTGTAAATTCATTACATATGTACGTGTGTTTGGAAGCAGTCGAACACAAGATGGCATATCGAACGAATATGCAATACTGCACCATTTAGCTATGTCTGAACAAATGTCTTCCTAAAATACCTTCTTCATTATTATAACGGTGTAAATAACAGCAAAATTCAAAACAAGCATCGATCGTACAGAGAGATCGGACACCAACTACACAGACTTCAAATGTACTGCGTAGTTTTTGCTCCTTATCTTTTGTCCTCTACCAGTTTAGCGTCAAGTATCTGTATGCGATCTTCTTTCCCACCTAACCTCAGTCAACTTAGAATAGAAAATCAAGCAAAAAAGCTATACGTGTATATTCTACGATGTTATCCAACTTCTGTAGCGCGATACCTTACGACTGAATGATTCTGCTTTGTGTAATACGCCACTTCACGTGCATTCACAGCTGTTGCTCGTGTTACTTTTGATGCTGTGCAGGTTGGTACTGCCAATTTGATTTTATCGGTTTACACTAGCACTGTCGATTGACGTACCTTTTTAGTAATTGTTGTTATAATTCGTAATAATAATAATTATTGTTGTTGTCGTACTTACAATGAGAAATTCACATATCTACAAATAAATAAAGTAAATTGTGACTTTTCAGTAGTTTTGGTGGTCGCCTTGCAAGTTTCTAGTAAATTTTCGTACAATTGATGATTACCTTGTGATTGAGAAAAGTGAGTTAAGTTATCTACTTTCTTCGGGTTCTTAGGCAGACTGTTTTTCCGTGGGCTACATTTATCGCTACTTTGCTGCAGCTTGTAAAACATGCACGTTAGCGATCATAGAATTTTTGAGTCTTTCGTTTACTGGCTCTTACGGTTACTACTTTTATTAGAATAATACAACTGCTACCCTATTTTTCTACATTAATAAAAGCTGCCGCTCTTGTCACTGGAAATGGGCGGCGATCTATTTCTTACGCGCAATTCCATTGGAGTCAAGCAAGTCGGGCCGGATTAGCGTCAATGGCCGGCTCTTCCCGCAGTAAACATGTCTATTTATCCATGAAACGGCAACTATCGCTGATGCTAGTTGCTACGACAACCGATCATACTGTTTTCGTTGTTCACCGAAGCAGTGACAACATCAACAGCAGCAGCAGCAGTAACGAGCAACGAATGGCGGGCTTTTCAAGGTCATCCGAGCATCGCCCCCGGGCCATGGCTATTAATGCCGCGGCAACGACGGGCTGCGATGTCGTTCCTTCTGTCCATTGCTATCGAGCTGTTGGCTATACACCAGGTAACAGCAAACTGCTGCTAAGTCTGTTGTGTTAACAGTCGACTAGGAGTAACCCTCGTTTCCTTTTGGCTGCTTCCTACATCACATATTGATGCTACTCTATGTACTTGCCGCCGTTGGAGTAGGGTGGCAGCGGCGGCCACGACGACGACAACAACAACAAGCAGCACCAGTTTTCTATACAACGTCCACAAATCGGCACGGGCAACGACAACACCATCATTAAAGCGGTGCATTCGGCTTAGGACCGCCAGCCATTCGCAGTAGTCGAACTAACTAGCGAGCAGCAACAGGCACACGCTCATACACACACCCACGTGCACATATCACACAGACACACAAAGATATTCACAGTAAGTCAGTCAGTCAGTCAGTCACCCAGCAGCGATAGCAACGATGCTGCTAGAAACGACAATAGACGGACGTCGCCCTGACCCATGTGTTTCTTTCCTACATCTCGGTGTCAACACCAAAAGCAAATACAGCAACAGCAGAAGACACGAGCTGTAGCACAGTGAGCCTACTCACTGGCTTACCGGACTTGTCCTAGTCATGGTGCGTCAGTAATGTAATTAATAGTCACGCGTGCCGGAGTCACGCTAAGTAACGAAGTACCAGAGAAAGTCAAAGCCTCGAACTGCGGGGCCAAACCATCAACGATCGCGATCCACTGCTGCCGACGGACGCCAACAGCAGCTACTGCGTCGTTGAGTAGCAGAGTTGTCTGTGCTGCCTCTGGGTAGTGCCGATGCGTGAGACGGACGCGCGGCGCGTGGTAGCCCCAGGGGCAACAGACACCAGCGGCGGCGCCAACAAGGCTCAAGAACAGCCAATAGTCATTGGTGATCTAGAGACGATCTTGGCGGCTGTCGCGGCAGAAACGTCCAGTCATTCGAGCAGCATCACCACGATGTAGCGAAGGAATCATCACGTACTGCGTTGCTGACGCCGCCGCACTGCTTCGCTTGTTTCTACAACAGCCAAGCGCGAACAGCAGGCTGAGCACTAAAACCACAACGCAGTCTATGACTGCGGCTACATGTGAACGACAGCTGCAAAACGCCGGCGGCCCTGATGGCCGTCGTCGAAATGAGACCTAACAGTCAGTATGAACAATTTGTAAGCGGTTCGAGCAACGCCAGTTGTGACTGACGTTGAGCGTCAACGAAGTCGATGAAATACGGTACGTAAAGGTGATAAGGAGGAACTGGTAGGCCATGCCGGTTAGTTCAGTCACCGCTTATTTGTTATTGTGCCTGCGACGATAGGTCGTAGCAAAACGCTTCATAAAAGACTAGGCTGCAGGATCTGCTGATTGCAGCGAAATGAGAGCTGCTTGCGACAGCAAGTTTACCAACGGCACTGTTCCGACGCACAGAGTTAGTTTATAGGTGTTGGTCATGTCATCTAGTACGAGAGCGTGGCCAATTTCTTGTTAGCCGACTAGCTAGTGTCAAGGGCAACGGCAAAATGGAGAATGCCCTGATTTATACTATTAATTATATCATTATTAATTATTATTACGATATTCTCCTACGCGTATGGAAAATACATATGACAACGCTGATTTGTGTTTGTGAGTGTGCGTGAAAGAGTCGATATCCCGTAGTGTTATGGACTGATACGAATCTGCATAATACGCAACAAATAATAAATTAAACGATATCAGGTTTTTGCAAACAAACTGTGCCAGACACAACACAGTAAAAACCGTTGGGAAGTGAGGACATATCGAACGAATCGTATGCAATAGCATCGGTAAGACCTAAACTAACATTATAACTACAATAGGTACAGTAATATATCTAACCGCAACACAATCTATTATCTACAAAGTAATGCAGCTATATTTAACAGTCCATCAACAAATCATCTCTCATTAAACCTGCGTGACTGCCATGGACTGCTTGCAGCCCGCCACTGTTGAAAGCTCAGAGCATGTGAACAACAACAACCAGCACACCACCATCAACGCCGTCAGCAGTAACAGTAGTAGCAATGAAGCGCACTTCCTCGCGCGCAAAAGCTGTGTTGGCCTCGGCCTCGACCTCGTGTAGGCCGCATGGACACTGTCGTGTGTGACGGCATGACTCTCTCGTCGGATCCACGCCCAGCGTCTTCGTACTCGCCCGCAAGAACTTTGCCGTTGTTACCGCCGCTCCAAAAGGCCTTCCTATCTTCCACCGGCTTAAAAAGGCTGCTTGAGCCGATGGCGTCGAGCCCTCCTCGCCCTGCCTTAATACCTGAGCCTCGCCACTCTGCCGCCAACGCATCACGGTTACGTTCCTTCCTCCACAGTGGCTCTCACAATCCACAACTGCATGCCCGCCATCGACTACTGAACGCGGTTGTCTCGCCGCCCATGCAACCGATTCTGACGTCAGTTAGCTGGTGGGTAGGAGTACGAGGTGGGTGAACTGGAAGAAAATAACCCCCAAGCCCATCGTGGTTGTAATGGGAGCAGTAGCAGCAGACATGCGGGTGGTCGTAGGCCTCGCCGATGGATGGTCCGCACGGTGGCGTCACCAACGGCAAACACAATGGAGCTCCGCGAGTTTCGAGAACCGGACCGCAAACTTCGCAGGCCTTTTAGATCTCATCTCTTTCTTTCTATGTAGAGTGTAAGCAATACGCGTGTATCGACTTGCCGCTATCACGACGAAGGGATTCCGTGTACTCGGATCAGAGCCCGCCATCGCCAAACGTTGAGTAGCGCGCAATGCTGGTAACCGCGTACTCCACATTTCGTACGTAGATTTTCCCCGTAAGTAGGCGGAAAATAAAGACATAAGGAGCAGGTGTATAGGGGCGTACTGTTCGCATGTGGACTTCCGATGAATATGAAGATGTGTATGGATGAGTGACATACGATGCTCCCCGGGGAAGGGAGGGGAGGATAGGGGGGTGAAATATATTAAACAAAAACAAAGAGGTAGGTGATTTTAGCAAAAGAATAATAGAAAAAAAAACAAAGTATACTCATGAATGATCGGTACATTGAGTACGTCATTGAAGGTGTAACGTACACTCATACATAGTTGTCTTATTATTAGCTGCTAAGGAGTTCCCAGTCGAACATCAAACATCATATATAATATCAGAACAAAAAATGGTTAGCACTTTAAAGTACTGTAGGATCGATGGAAACAGACCACCTCCGTATTTTCAGTAGCAAGACAATCTCTTTGTTGCCTATTTCTCTGCCAAACTGTTCATGCCTCTGCCGTAACCCTCTATTTTTTTTACACTACTACAAGTCATGCAAGAGTTTCTAAATCTGTTAACATCACCGCGCAGCCAGGACGCCATAACAGCGCGTGCCACGGGGCACGCGAGTTCGGTATTTCAGCAGGTCCAACTATTGAGCGCGTACGATCACGACGTAGCTAACCTAGCCATTCAAACCTAACCCAATCAAACAATATTTGTCACCTATCATCACACTAGAGGTAGTTCTCCGCTGTCCACGTTTGCTCTCTGCTGTACAGCACACCGTCACAGGTCTGTGCCAGAGTGGCAGCAAAGCGCGGCGGGCAGCCGGCCGGCCAACTTACAACGGTAACAAAACCACATGGTTCGGACCAACGTATCAGCGGAGGTACAAATACTCCGATACCGAACAACGGCAAACACACACAGCTCGTCATCTAGCTTTCTCTTTCTGTCTCCCTTTCTCTCTTTCTCCACATCCCACCCTCGATCTCGTTGTTTCTTCGGCTGATCCCCCTACAAATAGCGCGCGCGCTGTAGATTCCTGTGGGCCGCTGGCAGTCATAACGGCCATATCGCGTCTCTCTAAATATATGCGGAAAAGATGAGACGGCTGCTCATGTCGCAGCTACTGCCTGCATCTTACATCCGCTGCCTGCTGACCGCTGTCATCACAGTCAGCATCCACATCACCATCGCCATCATCATCGTCAACGCTTGTTGATCGGTGGCAACAAAGTGCCAATAACGGCAGCATCGGCCTATCTGGTTCGATAGCTTTCTGTCAAAATGGTTGTCGCACGTAAATATACAGCTTGTCGCGTCGTCTTGCTCTGCCCGCCAAGCTATTAAGGAAGCTCATACTTTCCTGTGCTCTAACATCCGCTGGTTGACTGATTGATTCATAATCTATCCACTAGGGAGGAAGTTGGCAGAAGCTATTTGAGCAGCTGACTATCCCGGCGTTGTGGAACTGTTTGAACCAGTGCATTTCATCTGGCGTTGTCGAGAAAACAAGTTCCCGAAATGGCGGTCAGTCGTATTCCCACATCTGCCGACTTCTACATATACATATCGATGTACATAAACATAACAACAATAGCGTACGGAACGACAACGACCATCGCGGGTTCGTTACCGCTTGCACCAACAAAAACAATTGTAGCCGTTTGCGAAGCATCTATGACCATTGGCTTCTCTAGGCGAACGGCTGCATACGCAAACAGGGCCAGGCCGGACGAAGAGCCTTTAAAGTAAACTAACATTGTAGTCTCTATGCGGTCGTATATACGCTAGTCGGTATAGGCGGCTTGCCGGGCTGCTGACGCTGCCGTTGTCGCCGGTCGCCGCTGTTGCCGAGGGGACGACAGCGAACCTAGCTGCCGAAGTGCCACACCAGCAGCACCAACCGCCGGCGGCGTCGCCGACTTCAACACTAGCAGAACGAGTGGAAATCGTCTAGCAGACACCGGGGCGGACCAGGATAATATATCGTGTCGATCTGTGTACCCGGATAGTGATGTAGATTCGGCTTACGAGTCCACTCGGTGCTGCTGCTAGCTCTACTCACACTATTCGATGGGCGTCCAACAAGCAGCGACGGTCCAGTTAGCTCTTGCATCCACTGTTTGCAGCCCGACTCGTCACCTGACCACAACTCGAATCCAAGATGGCGTCCAATCAGCTGGCGGGTCGGCCATTAGGCCTCGCTGGTCTTGGCCAATGATACTGTGGCGGCAGTCGAGCGGCAGTTGGACCGCAGGATGGGCCTGCTATCGAGGCGGCCACACTGAGAACGTCGCGTTTCTTGTGTGCTTTCGTACGAACAATGTCTACGCCCTACACCTGGCGATCGCTGGTCGGACATTTTGCCGAGCGCGACACAAATCTAACGCGAATGAAGATACCGCCGCCGGTCGAACAACCAAGCCGATCGGCTTCTCCCATCAGCTGATCCCTGAGGCACCACGTGGTCGCGCACGAAAAATTAAGGAAAAAACGTAATTTCGCGTAAATTTCACGCTGATCTAGGTGTCAACTGACATCAGCTGACGCTGAGCATCGATTTAGCTGCAAATCACAACAGGATAGC